GTAGAGCAGTGCCTGATAGTTGGAACCTGACTATTATAAATATTTAAAGACAAAGAGAAATGGGGTTTAATGTCCACTCAGCACAAAGTAGGGCATTTCGGGACTAACATATGGTTCAATTTTATTTCATTAATTCACTTGCTTGTAGCGGTCTTTGGCAGTGGGAGAAAACTGGAGAAAACTCAATGAGGTTGGACAGGTGACCCTACTCCTTGTCACATAGAAGTTGGGAATGAAAACCATGCCATGTGACTTAATGACAGACCTTACGATGCAAATCTGTACCAGACAAAATGACCGACACCAGATGGATTGTTTTATTGTGTTTGACAAAGTCGGCATTTGTACCTGACAATGTCTGTGACAGATGCTTTATTTCTAGACTTGAGTACATGTACATGTAGGCCCTATATTAGTTTAATTTGGAAAATTGTATAACTCATTAACAAATTATTTTAGACCTAGTAGTCCATAAATTTTACGTGTCTGTCAATAAATCATACAGATCGGACACAATGGATGTACATTTGTAGTGCTCTGAAATCAAAAGTCTGCTTTAAAAGAAAAAGTCTTAATTCTTTATAAGGCTTTATAACTTTTAACCGGAAATACATGTCCATGTAAGAGCTCCAAATTTAAGAAATTTGTTGGAAAACTGATGGACAATGCATAAAAACGTCTTTAATTAAGCAAAGTCGAAATAATTATGTAAGTACTTATATATCGACAAATTTAATTGAGAAAAAGGCCCCTTGCTGTGATGTCACAAGTATATGTACATCTTACAAGTATTATACGTCAATTTATTTGACAAGTGACTCAGTTGATGTTTGTTGAAAGCTATTGTGAATGACATTTAAACACATTACAGTATACTTTATCTTTATTAACATATCTAAATGAACAGAAGATTGTGCCAGTTTTGTCCTGGATAATATTTACATGCTTTAAAAATCTTAATATAACTAGAAATATATATCAGTAAAACATGTTAGAAATTTATAATTCCAAAATTTTTATTGGGTTCTAAGCTCCTTTCACAATTGAATGGCACGAAGGTGCTCTTTAAAACATTCCATTTACAAATTTATCGTATATTGTGTTCACAATCTTTCATATGCTTGAACGCAAATTGATAAGTGCATGTGAATCTATAAATTTGTGATTTTTAATTTTGATAGCATTGTTCTTTACGATGAATCTGACAAAAAATGCAAATAAAACTGCACAGTGTAGAATGTTCACAAGAAAAGTGGGATGGACTGACAGATTGATGAACGCAGGCAACAAAACAATATGCAGAGAAAGAGAGAGTTAAACATCCATTCAATACGTGGTTCAATTTTATTTCATTGGGAAACAATGCTAGTGAACTGCACCACAAACAAAACTAAGCGGCACAAGAATCAGTCCATGTACCATTTCTATTATGGTAGGACTACCCAAATTTACATGAACAGCTATAATGCCAAGGGTTAGGGCTTGAGGTAGTTGTTTGATATAAAATTCTGTAATTGCTCTCAACACACACAGAGAACAGTATAAAGAGATGTACATGCAGCTACATACCGGTATTCCTAACGATGATATAAAAAAATAAAACACATAAAAACAAAAAATAAACTTATCTGATGAATAATCTGTGGTCTGATGGGTGTATGAAATAATATGTTGTTATGAATTGAAGTAGGCCTACAATGTACCTGTGTGACATTTATTTCCCAATAATGTCTAACTAATGTATAATAAGGTTTCATGTAAGGCCTATATTTCGACACAACGTTTGGAAATTTATATCATTTCAATCAATGATTATTTTAAAATGCTACCATCACTAGGAGACATGATGTCTTCACTAATTAATGATGTGGGTATAATTTCTAGCTAGCCTTATTTCCTAACTACAGTGAAAAACTAGAGCACTTCAACAACTTCTTGACTACCGGTATGATTTGATCTTTTCATTAGGGCAGTCATATTTAGTTGGCTTCTTTTTTACTATACAACTACACAATATACATTACACAAATATAAGGCGTTTACCAGCTGATTCACAAATCAATTGAATGGAGATTTCCCTCAAAAAGTTGGAGTATTTGACGTCATTCATTCATGGAATCATCAACATCAGTGCAACTTTACAATGGACTTATTATAGAATGAAATTGAGTCAGCTGTCAATATTTTAAAGTCGATATCTGAGCTTAAAACTCCGTGTAATGTTACCAAACCAATTAAATATGGTATATCTGATCATAACCATTGAAATAAGACCATTTTCCGTTTTTAGAAGTAATATTATTTAGTTATATTTACCGTTTAATACCCCATACGTCAACGTGTTCTGATTTTCTATAAATAATCACGCCTCCACATTTGAGCCTCCTGATAGAAGACCTCAACTCAGGGGAGATAACACCCATTCATTCCGATTTTCCAAATTTTTCTCTTGAAAAGGTTAAAATATTAGTGATGACTAAAATCGAGATAATGAAGACTTACGGCCCATTTTTATTTCGATTTCCAAATACTTCTGATAGGTCTGTGAAACCATAGATAATACGGTATTATCTATGATGAAACCGACGTCCTTTTTTAGGGATACCGGTACCTTCCCATTTTTGCCGTGTGTGGGTATCATATGTGTTTCATCATGGACCTTATAATCATGGAATCCAGTAAATTTCTAGTAAGATGTAAGATCTGGTGTAGCTATCTTCCATCCAACCTCGTGGGTTTTCTCCGGGTCCCCAGGTTTCCCCCCACTGCTAAAGACCCCTACGCGCAAGCGAATTATTGAAATGAAATTTTAAAAAATATGTTAGTCCCGAAATGACCTAGTTTGTGTCGAGTGGACGATGTTGTGAAACTCGCAGTCGTTGCTTCAGGAACATGCCCCTTAACAGTCATCCAGCCCGTACGCCTATGGGCTTAGGGCACAAAGCTCCCGATAAAAAAATGTTGCAGTGTTGCGCTTCAGACTTACTTTAACAAATGAAATGAAATGAAATGGGGTTTAACGTCCTACTGTTTTGCTTCGAACTGGGCTAATGAAGACAACTCAGCACGGTAACCAAATACTTCGCTATCTGCAGCTATCAGTAGAAGCATCCTTTCGGGGTCTAGGTAGCAAGCATGGCAGAAAATATTGCTGTTTTAAGGGAATTTCCCCCTGGAAAGCTTTCGGAGTAAGCAAATATTTATGATTATTCAATGGCCAAACGTGTTGGGAGAAAAATATAAACCCTATAAAGCTCGCAGGAGAATGGAGCGACACGTGCATAAGAGAAGAGCCCCTTCTCCTGTTTTCAATTCATCTTACACAATTTACAGTCTAAGGCAGTGATTCTCAACCAGTGTGCCGCGGCAAACAGGTGTGCCGCGAGATCTTCCTAAGTGTGCCGCGAAATTTTGAACGGCACACTAAGAAAATGTGAAAAAACACGTGATCCCAATTGAGTGGGCCCCCTATCCACTGGTAAGTAAATAGCTGTGTTTTTCTTTATTTAGTTCGAGTCAGCCTATGTGTTTATGACTAGCCTCTGTCTACGGTTGTATGCCGTCTGACTTACCATGTTTTTATTTTGCAAAATTCAGATATTTTTCATATATATTTAGCCAGGTGTACCGTTATTTCTTCATGTGTTCCACAGTGTGTTGTAGGTGAAAAAAGGTTGAGAACCACTGGTCTAAAGCATTCAGATCAATGAGAAAACGTTCCCATGGCAAGTGGTATCAGGTGTTCTAGAGAACTGTTATTTTCACAGCACGTTTATTACAAGGACCGAGATCCTCCGGTGGGGGGGGGGTCTATAAAATTCATACTAAATTATGTAAGCATTGATCTGAGCGCAATATAATTTATTATTTAGTATACAGCAAGTTTAGTAATAGGGATCCATATACTGCATTGTTAAATCTGAGGGGACTCTTTCAGTTGTGATCACAGTCGTTAATATAATAAGCTGGGTAATATATCGGAATTGTAACAAAGAGAGATTACTCTCGCTAACTAAATGTAAAAGAAAAGAATAGATAACACAGGATAAACCTAATTCTGAATACATTTTATGTTATTTATCTGTTAAGAGCTAAACAACCATTACCGTATTCAATAATATTGCAAAAACCAGACTACCATATTATGTATATTTGATTTTTTGAGAAAGGATCAAAGCGTCTTAAGACAGGCGAATTGGGACGTAAATGCTATTGCTGTAGTTCTGAGTTCTGCTCGGCCTACAATTACTAGATCTGGTTACCCCTAAGTCCACTTATGAAGCGGAGAATTCAAAGAATGGTGATTCTGTCTATCTTTTCGGCATTCATTTGGACAACATGTGTAAATTTATTATATCAGCCCAGCATCCTTGACTTTTCCAAAACATATTTAGACAATACTTTCGAACCTGTCAAAATAGTTTCCCTGGTTGCACTATGTACCAGTAAAAAAGACCACCTTCTTTGTTTTATTTTTACTATACAGAACAAGAAATCGTATTTTCAGAGTGCACTAAAAAGCGACAATTATTTATTGAAAAAAGCTTCATAAATCGGAAGAAACCGAAACCATAAAATGGCAGATGATTATGAAATCATCATTCCTAACTCCAGCCAGATATTCTTGATGTTTTCAACGCAAACACCCGATCTATTATCAGGAACAATCTAAAGAGCCCGTACAATATCTTGCACGACACGGATTGGTTCTATAAAAAAAATGATGAAACCGAATCAAATTATGTTCTGCTTTTAAAGTTAAGAAGCTTATACTTTAAACGATATAGTTAACATCCCATTAGTAGTGTAGACAGGTGGGGATACTACTGGGCTCGAACATTCCCTTAAAAACACAATTTAGCCTTAGATTGGCCGCCTCCTGTAAATAAATTATTGCCTCTGCTTTGCAATCACACAATTTTTAGGCGGAAGAAAGGAGAAGGAATTGTTTGTTCCCACTAGATTCATATCCATTGTTTGCCCGGCTGGACAACTAAATTTCATATTCCTCAGAAGTAGAGCCAACATGAGATGCATCTCGGGACTAGCAATGGTTTCACCCAAACAATTTCTACGTCCAGCAGAAAATGGTAGCCATGACATCGTTTTGGGCGCAAGTTTTCCATCATCGTCAAGTAATCATTCTGGTCTGAAGACATCAGGATCTTTCCATACCCCAGGATCATTGTGAAGCGCCCAGTGGTTGATCATCACCAAAGTACCTTTAGGTATCTCGTATTCACCTGCAAGAAACCCATCTACATTATAAAGTATTTCAAAAAGCTTGGTGCCGTGTAGAGGGCCTTTGACTCACCAACTTATGGTATCATAATTGTCAGACAGTTCCACAAGTCGAGTGGCCATACCGGAGAAACCGCATTGTGACGAGGATGTGTTGCATGAAGTTTGTCTTGTGATGATTTGTAATATGACCGATGACTCCACCTAACCATTAATATCAAGAGAGAGCGGGGGGGGGGGGAGATACAGGAAGAAGACAGGGACACTCTACTCCTTGTCACGTACAAGCTTGGGAAAAAACACGCCACTTGTCTAATTGAAAGACCTCATGATCTAAAGCATTATTCTGTCTCAATAGGGCACTTTTTGCAAGTAAAGGGTAACTGCCTCGAAAACACAGAAACATACAAAATTGAAACCGGGAACTAAGAAAGAGTGAAATAAAGGCGGATATAAAATTACCAATAGTTGTATCACAGCGGGTTGTATGTGGTAATCCCATTGGTACGACTGGACACAGTCGCATACTCTCATGTAAAACAGCTTCGGTGTAGGACAAACGTTCTCTGTCGCGTAAAGTGGGGGCTTGTCCAGCATCTAGCAAATAAAATTTAACACGATAAAGATAGAGAACCACTCTTTTGGCTTATATCAACATCCGGTCTACTAAATGTTTAAATTCGTTGTGGTTTTGTTCTCCCGGTTGGTTTAATTCGCTGTCCGTGATAAAAACAAATAACACTGATCGAAGTAGTTACTGCGGTAACGACCTAGTATCTCTGCTGTTTGACTTCGATTATAAAATCTTTATAACTTTTTTCTGCCGGCTAACTCTGCAACATCGCACTCAGTGTTGGATTTATCTGTAGGCTGGGCAGGCCAAGGTGTATAATTTTTTGACACCTTCATAATATGCATTTCATAAACGCACTGTGGTCTTAAACAGTCATCGTCATCCTCGGTTTTGCTCAATTACATTTACAACACACTTCATCTAGCCCTGAGGCATGGGATTTGGAGGAGCTCCATAAGTGGAATTGCCTAACTAGGGCCTCTCTTCATATAAATCCAGCACTAATTGCAAAAGGTATTTGCAGACGGATCTTATAATCCGGCCTTCGGCCGAATAATGATGGCATAATGTATCCAACCAATTATCGAAATTATGGATAGCTCAGTCAAAGATTCAAACATTGACTGCCGAAATTCCGTTAACACTGCGTCAATGACAATTCTTTAAAAAATTATTAATATTCTATCATTCAAATCCTGACAATCGTAACTAACATACCTAATACTTGATCTAATTCAGCCTGAACCTTCTTCTGTATTTCTGGATGTGTTACTAATAATAGAATTGTCCAGGTGATAGTTTGTCTGGTTGTATCAACACCAGCTGTAATATATACATGTAGAATCAACTGTAATATATACATGTATAATCAGCTGTAATATGTAGAAGCAGCTGTAATATATACACGTAGATTCAGATGTAATATATACATGTAGAATCAGCTGTAATATATACACGTATATGTATATACATGTAGAATCAAGGTGTTTAATACTTTCCGTTCATTGTTTGGCTTAATGCGTCCATAGCTTTTTAAACGTATAGTTTTCAAACAAAAATTCAAGGTAATAAAATCAAATAACTCAAGCCATTTTAATATTTGATTTCAATATTTTAACGGATTACCAAAGTCTGGGGCTTATCCTTTGAAACAAGGATATTCCAGAATTGCGACGGATGAATTAATTTATTTATATTTTACCAATGAATATATCGCTAATTGCATGGGTAAGATGACTGTTAGTGATAATCGAGTCTATATCAGGATCTTCCAGAACAGCCTGTTTTCTGGCATTGATCAAAAAGTCTGTAAAATCGTTCATATTATCTGAAAAAATAAACCCAAAAGACTGAAATATATTAAAGAAGCATTATGTAAGAGCTAAATCTGCCTACTGAAGGTCTTTATTTTGGCTCAAATGTTATCATAAAGTCTGTCATTGATTCGACTGGCGTGGTTTCGAATCCCCAGTTGTACGTGGCAAGGAGTAGGGTCGCCTGTCCAACCTCGTGGGTTTTTTTCCGGGTCCTCCGGTTCCCCCCCCCCCACTGCTAAAGACCCCTACGCGCAAGCGAATTATGTAAATAAAATTAAGCCATATGTTAGTCCCGAAATGACCTAGTTTGTGTTAATCTAGTGGACGTGGACGTTAAACCCCATTTCTCTCTCTCTCTATTAACATGATAGACCATCAACCCTCTAAATCATCAGATCATAGAGATTTAAATGGATTAGGGCAACCAAGAAATCTAACGATAAAATTGACAAGCGAGGCTAAGTCTGGATATTCCAATACCGTTGCTACCATAATGAACAATCTGAGCCACATCTTTCAACGCCCATTACTTCGCTCAGAATAAAGTAATTTGAATTAAACTTTCAATATATTAATTTTTTATTATATATTTTTGAACTATTACAGCAAGAACGACCAGCTCTTTTACCTAACTCTTAAAGAATGCATCTTTAAAGAAACATAGACGGCAAACAAATTCCAAAAGGCACGTTTTGAGAATTTATTATGAATGGTAAAATAATTCTGCGAAGAACTGAAAAATTCGCAGAAGGCTTATAAAAAGTACTTTTTCCAAAAATTACCAACCTTCTGAGAAATTCTCAAAATGTTTATTGCATTCATCTTTTATAAACTCCATTAAATGATCAATCGTTGACATAATCTTTCTAAATTTTGCTGTTGGATATTTACGAAGAGGAGGGAAAACATCTTCAAAGAAGCCGTTTCCAACACCAGTGGTACCCTCATCCAGAGCATTCAATAACTTCAAAAATATTTGGTCGTCAATATCAAAACTGATAATACAGAAAAAGTACGTTCAGAATTATTTAAAACTTATGTGTTTAAAATATGTAACAGTATGGGAGACGTCATGGCTCAGCGAGTAAGGCGTTTGCTCGGTCCCGGCTTCGATCCCGGTGTTGGCCGCGAAATTTTCTCGGGATATTTTCCGGCGTGTTAGTGATGCAGGACTACGGGTCTGCCAAGCCTAGCCGTTCGTATGGGTCAAAAAACCGAGAGCCTTGTGTACACGTTGGTGTGCACGCAAAAGAACCACTGACTGTTGAAATTGAATTGCTGTCAAGGCAAAATTCGCCCATAACACACTGCATTACCCCCGTGCAGAAAACCAGGACATTTTAAATCTCACCTCATTTCATTCATTCATGTAACAGTATATTATAATGCAATTTGACAAGGAGTGTAGTAGTATTTTCTGATATTAGAATTACCTTTTTTCATTTTAGAATTACCTTTTATTATATTAGAATTATCTTTTATCAAACAAGGATTACATTTTATCAAACAAGAATTACCCTTTATTGTATTAGAATTACCTTTTATCACACTAGAGTTACCTTTTATAATATAAAAATTACCTTTATTAAAGCAGACACCATGAAGTAAATTAAAAACCAATAAACTGATGTATTTCTGTATATCGAATGGTTTTCCATTTTCTTCTTTTATTCGTCTCATCACCTTTGATGCTGATTCAAATAGTTTCTCTTCTAGTTTAGTTCCCGAGAGAAACTGTTTAAAAACAGATAATAATGTTGTGTCCAAGCAACGAAATGGATTGATAAACGTGAATTGCTTGCACTTTTTTTATTATTATTTCTCTAACCCAACTTCATGGTTGAACGTATCCAGACCGTCTGCGCAAGCCGTGTTGGTTCATTTATTTTGTTATTCTGCACTACAACTCCGCGAGAAACTTTGGACGGTACAGGGGTGGATCCAGGAATTTTTGCAGCAGGGGGTTGCTAGGTTCCTGTTAAGGAAATGTGACAGTTGATAATGCATGATGCCATTATCGCCTCTAAATAACGTAGGCATACATACACGCTGAGCTTTTTTAAATAAGAACTCCATCACCCCGTTTGACGTCAATATTTAAAATGAATTAATATTAAAAGGTTCACATTCTGATTGATGCAAAGCATTAATTGTGATATCACACATGTCTATATCATTATCTCAGACTTTGGATGCCGGATGCCCATCCCAGCCCACCATCTGACGATAGAGGATAAAGCACAAGACCGTTACACTTTTCTCATAAAAAGTGTTGTTTTACAATAAAGAGTGTTGTTTTACGTAGCTGAGCAAGGTCTTCCCCGCCCCCGATCCGCCCTGCAGTAACTACTAAGCAGCAAAAGAAACGCCAGGTTGGTATGTTACTCTGAATAGACGCATTGTATATTACTTGGCAAATGTTTTATTGTATATTTGTTACCAAATCTCCAACTTTACCTGAAATGTTCTCAAAAACGCAACCTGACTTCTGAGATGGTAATGTGTTCTCCATGATTTTCATGTAACTCATGCTACACATGCTGTTCACCGGGACCAGCCCTATAAAATGCACCCCAATACCTGATTGAATCATTCACACTACAACGTCAGCAGCATGAAACGACTCACGACAGCTCAGAGGAACCAGGCGCTTTGAAGACTCGACGCTGGCCACACTGCCCAAGCCGTTGCCAATCACTTCCAGGTCAATGTTCGGACCATCTACGGGCTTCAGCACTGCTTTCGGGCCACCAACACCACGGATGATCGCCCCCGAACTGGTAGACAAAGGGAAACCACAAGGCGACAAGACCGCAATGTTGTGCGACAGCACGTGGGGAATCACTTCACACGGCCATCTGAGACAGCACGTCAGACTGTGGGAACACACGGAAGACCCGATACAGTGCGCCGACGTCTCACCAGAGAGAACATCCATTGCCGTAGACCTTACCGTTGACCGATCCCCACCACTCGCCATCGACGTGAACGTCTACTGGTTGGCCAACAACACCAGAACTGGCGACACAGACAATGGAGAACTGTTCTGTTCACCGATGAGAGTCGGTGTTGTGTATCAACTGCAGATGGCAGGACCAGAATATGGCGTCGACGTGGCCAATGTGTCATGGAACGAGATTCATGGAGAGGTCCAAGCCTAATAGTTTGGGGTGAAATCGGCCTGAACCAGAGAGTGGGTCCTGTGGTGTTCCAAAATCTTGGAGGCGGCATCAAATCAAGCTCCCAGCCCCTACGTCATACCACATTTCGCACGTCATCGAAACAACGTTTTCCAGCATGACAACGCCCGTGCCCACACCGCCAGAGTTACTCGGAACTTTCTACAGCAGAACGGTGTCAACGTTATGCACTGGCCAGCCCTTTATCCGGACTTAAACCCGATTGAACATCTTTGGGTTGAAATTCAGAGGAGACTTAATAACGTCGTACCGAGACCAAACACAGACGATGGATTGCGCCAGGCTTTTCTGAGAGTGTGGTTCCCGGTGCCAATGGCGTTTATCAATCGTCTGGTCCACTCCATGTACAGACGCTGCGCTGCTGTTATTGACACTGCGGTGGACACACCAGATACTGATGTATAGACTCTAAACCTTCTCGTAATGTTTTGGAATTGTGATGAATTAATCACTAATGTGTCAACATACTGTTCACAAAAATTGTTTTGATCCATTTAGTAAATCGTTTTCTAGTATGGTTTAATTAAAGCGCCTCTCTGATTTTGAAATCGTACGGACGTTTCTTTTGCTATTTAGTACATAACAATGTCTCTTTGGCATTCATGATATTGACAGGCGTAGGCTATGTTTATTCATCTGCGACTAAGAACTGTTACACAATGGAGTTCATTAGCTGTTAGCATCACATTAGTTATTCTATTACGGGTATGAATGCCAAGTGTGTAAACTATGGACGATGACTATAATTTTGATATTTAAACACTTTCTACCTTAGACCTTGAAGGCCAATCTTTCTACGCTGTTTCCATGACGCATTGACATCAGAATATATAATATTCTTGTAGCCGTCCGAGAAACAACCCACTAAAATATAACCAATTGCAACCATATAAAAAAAATATAGGCCGTTAAGAATTACAGTAGGAATTATTTCAAAATACGAAACCGTGTATGAACACAGCCAGAAAAGATATTTTACTCAATTATTAAATGCTTTCACTTAAAAGCTACAATAGCCCACTACAAAGAAATACCCCCCCCCCCCTAAAAAACACCCCAGTGGAGTGGATCCACAAATAAGATTGGTAAATAAAGCTACGTATAATGTGACCTTACTTGACCAAGTCTGAAATCTACCAGCATAATCAGCTGCTTTCTTTACCAAAGCTTCATTGACAGAATCAGGACTGTTTAATGTTACACACTTTAATGGACCTATAAAAGTAAGATAATTGTGTAATAATTATATTTTTATTGTTAATGTGACAAGAATGCATAGAATTGTTGTATGTTATAGAAGGGATATGTTTTACAAGGGAGGATTAACAGACCACGGATAGGCGGGGGGGGGGGGCACGTGCGGCGAAGCACATAACGGGGGGTTCGGATGGCCACCCTCCGAATAATTTCGACAACTAGAATCCCGGAGGCAATAATCCGGGTGTAAAGTGTGCCACCTGGATCCAGATGGGGGATCCGCACTTGTTTTAGATGTGTATAAAACTTAACCATAAAGACCAATAATGATAAGACAAGACCGATTCAGTTTAGTTTTTGTTTCCAAATAAGACCGTTTGCTAAATCAGTTTAGTTTCGTTTTAAGCTTAGATAAACAACTACTGTACACCAAATCAGTTATATCTCAACATTGGGTGTTTCTAGAATTTAGATACAAACCAAAACGTTAACTTATTTAAATAGGCTTATATATAGGTTTTACCCAAATCAAAGCGAACAGTTCCTGTAATTTGCTTACTTTTCTTATTTTATTTTGAACAATGTTTTACAGATATATGTATAGCTATTTATCTCTATGCAAATTTATACTTGTAGTTTATCTTATAGTAATTTGTAAATCACAAAAATAAACTTTCACTCTGTCAGACGTGAAAATTGGATTTAGCATACTGCTAAAACATTAGCCCAGTCGGAGTAAAACAGTACACCCCATTTCATTTAATTCCATTACAATATGTCGGACAAACTACGGTATATGATTATAGACTGAATCGGTACTGAATCAGAGCCTACACCATTATAAATTATAATTACCGAAATATATTGTGATCGCAGAACCGTATTTTTGTCTCCATTTTAATAACTTTTTGAAGATTGGCGGAGAAGAATTTATTTCTGAAAAGATAAAATAAAATATGATCAGTTGTCAGTAAAAGAGCCCTGCAAGCCGTCTTAATCACCCATCAGGTAAGTTGTATCGATGTATTCTTATTTCAGAACAAACTTCCGAATATATCCATTCATGCTGTCTATACCCTACCAAACGTGGCCGAGAAAATGCATTTGAACAAATCAAAGTGATTTAGAAGAAGTTGTGAGGGTATAAATCCATATTTTTAAGGTATCCTAGGAACACTTTATTGTGTCGATCAATTTGGTAGAAAATCAGAAGTAGTACCAACCAAGCAACATATCTACCATCTTTGGATGAAGTGGGGTCTCAGGTGAGCAAGTCAAGATACCTGGAAAAAATGTGTCAGGCGACCAAACCCACCCTGCACCCATTCAGCCGACCAATTTCATCTGAATAAACGACAACACCCAAACGGCTTAGATCTATTCTAAAGTCTTAATTGGCCATTTATATGATTCCTCGAAAATAAATAGGGTATAGCAGGGTAAACACCCTTTAGGTTCCGAAATTTATTCCAAAATTGAGCCCCCTTCAGCTCTACAATGTACCCAATTGTTCGTAACCAAAACTAACGGACAGGCTGTCCAGATGTGTAATAAAAACTTCCAGAATTGTCACCATGGTTACACTTTTATAACCCCCAAAATAGACATACGAATATTTATAACGTCCAAATCTATTCAAAAGCTGAAGAACCTCTGCACCTAAAGATTGCTATATTTTTCAGACATTTGCATCCAAAACATGCGTCTTTTGAGACAAAGTGAAATGAAATCATGAGACTGGATATTAAGTCCAACGACGTGATCAATGATCACAGTGATTGCTGATTGCACTTGAGCAGTTTCTTTATAAAATCTTCTCAGATTCACAAGGAAACATAACGAGGAAAATCCGGTCGAAAGTCCCGCTAAAATAGGACCTTGGGTGCAGTTGTCTTCAATGGGTTGTCATTTAGATTTCTTGTGGTCCATAGCCGATCATGACTCACATTATACAACGTTTTGGAAATATTCTATGGGTGCCGATAAGTACCCTTTCGCTCATTCCTGCCATCGCGTTAACTTAGTGCGAGCCAAGAAGCCCCGACTGCGCTTTGTAATGACGTTCACAATATACAACGTGTGGGAAGTATTCTATGGAAGCCAATAAATGCCGTTTCGATGCCATGTGCGAGGCCAAGTAGCCGGGACAAATGGCCCCAATCCCGCGGCTTCGCTTTGTTATTGCGTTCAGCGTGAACGCAAGAAGGCACGAAATGACCACTGAGAAGCCAAGAAGTCGTAGCAGCAGTTCTAATCTTCGCCTTGTTCATTTCTTGACTTCTTGCATTTGCAGAGACAGAGCGAGATTTCTAGCCGTCGCTTCACCATAAGTCTATGGCCAGAAGGCGAAGCCGCTAAGACCAGAAGGAGCGAAGCAATTTCACTTCGCCTTCCGATCTATCTGTCATGCGCCGTCCTAAAGAAACCTAAAGCTGAAGCTTGATATAAGTTTTATTTATTGCTTGCAATGTTTGTGTGTGGTTTGTCTGATTGTTTTTTTTTTGTATGTTCCGGCCCTCCTGCACTTACTATAGAATCGAAAATATCTAAATTTCCCCTGAAAATGTAAATAAACGCTGCCCTGGCAACATGCTATCCAAATCTGGTTGAAATGCGCTAAACAGTACATAATCAACAGGCTAAAAATGTTTACCTCTTAGGTTACCAATCAAAGGAGGCGCCCAGGGTCCTGGGGGCAATTTGTATTTCTTCTTTCCAAATGAATAATACGTTACCAGACCAACTGTTAGACCCAGCAACAGGGCTTGAGTTGTCCAAGACAGAGGAATCTGTTTTACAACGGATTCTAACATTTTCGAAACTTTGCGATCTGTTAGAAGAAAAACAACATATAGAATAAACGTGACCAATCTACGAATAAATGCCAATCTATTCCAAATACAACTTGTCTTTAATATGGGGAGCCACGGTGGAGATTCCGTGTTCCCTGTGTTGACAGAGAAAGTACATCTATGCATTTTCCGGCGTGGTTCCTCCTTGCCGGTGGTGCCGGGTGGAGTGCCTGGTATGGGACAACGTATAGTCGTTCGAATGGTACACATTGGCGTGCACGAAAAAAACCCCTTACCAGTTGGAATCCGATATAAGAATCGGCCGTAGCGCGGCTATCGTGGCTAAATTTTCGCCATAGCACACTGTGTGGCTTATACCCCATTTTATTAGCCTAGTCGGAGCAAACCAGTAGGACGTGAAACCCCATTTAATTTAATTTCATTTCTTTAAAATGATACGCATTTGTTCAAATATACATATAATGCTACGTACTCAAATAAAGCTTTCATCTGCTAGTAACTTGATCTGTAATCTGGTATAAACCAGTAGCCCCATTGAACACACTGACACCTTAGTTTGTATGTTATATCTGATTTATATTTGACATATAGTCACAAGCCTATATATTGACCCAACTTATACCGTTTTTAACGCAAGCCGAATAGTGACCCGATTCATCATTGGCTATCTGCACAAAGTAAATGCTCCTTTTCAGCAGAAGCCTATATATTAACCCAGTCAATCAGTGTCTATATGCATACGTGTGCATAAACTAAATAATTCTAACCCTTTCTGACTCAAACCTATTTATCGACCCAAATGATCATTGTCTATTAGTATATGGACACATGGGAGGACCCGGAGAAAACCCACGAAATTGAACAGGCGACCCACCTTGTCACGTACAATCCGGGAATCGAAACCATGCCAATGACAGACCTTATGATACAGCGCGCACGTGTTAACCATTCGGCCATCCAACCCCCTATAAGCAACAGACAACAAATATCAAATCAAGTGAATGGATTCCGGGACCAGCCGTAAACGCCAATCCCTATAACCTTTTTGAAACGAACACGTGTATATATAGTGAATAAATGCTAAATATAATAATTACTCAATTTAGTAAGTTATGTAAAGCGTTTGGGAGCAGTTTGTAATTCATTGCATAGATCTAGGTTATCAACCCGGTCATTCACATAATAGTGGATACTTGTGATAAACTCGCACGAAAACATGGATATTCTACATCTGGATTAAGACTGGTAATTATTTCTCTTGAATTTAGTTACATTTCTATCTTTCCGCCCTGATGTGACTTTTTTTGGTAGATATCTAGATTGTGAGTTCATTGCTTACGAACTGACTAAACGTTGCTAGTGCCAAATATGCCGTATTTAGTCAAACATTCCTTTTGTCACAAATTCGCCACAATCCTACTTTCGTGCTTTTGGTATAGATATCGAGTAACACCGGTTGCTTCGTGTCCCATCGTCCTATGCTACACCCTACACCCAAGACCATTCGCATTATTGTGTTTTCTTGTAAATCATTACAGGCCCGGGAGTGTACAGCACAGTGGACGCTAGCTTCTGACCCCCCACCCCCGGTCCATTTACTTGATTTGATAATTGTTGTTCATTGCTTGCAACATACTGTGTTGTTTATGTCTTGTCCGTAAGTTTGTCTTTTCGGTTTTGTTTGGGTGTAGTGCCCCCCCCCCCCCCAGCACTTACTATTAGAGTGAAATTTTAGCCCTCCGCATTGAAGAATGTTCTCGTTGTTGGGTTTTTCTCCTGTTTGCTCACTACGCTTTATTTATTTTTTATTTTTTTTTTTTAGCGTTCTCGTAAATTCTTTCCTGATAACCTCCCTTGTTATTGTTAATTTTTTGACTATCTAACTCATGACCTCGCCATTAAGGAGACGACAACCGTCAAGACCGGGGTTGTTTCTGTTTAGAGAGGTCCCCTGCACTTATTATTTTGGGTGTAATTGCTCTCCTAGGTCAATTATTACTTTTGAATAGAAATGAAATGAAATGGTGTTTAACGTCCTACTGTTCTGCTCCTAAACTGGGCTAATGAAGACGGGCATACGCCATGCAGTGTACTATGAGGGAAATTTTGCCCGGGCAGCGGCGCTACGGCCTATATCGAATTCCAACTGCCAAGGGATCTTTTACGTGAACGCCAATATGTACACGGGACCTCGGTTTTTCGTCCCATCCGAACGACTAGATAACTGTCCTTGTCAGGCCCTCCGTCCTGCATCACTGACAAGGGGAAACCACGCCTGAAAATATGGATGAACTTTCTCGGCCAATGCAGGGATCGAACACCCGACCTCCAGGCTAGCGAGCCAGCGTCTTACCAACTTAGCCACGTGATCCCCACTTTTGAATAGACCTGCTCTCTTAATGTTAGTATGGACACCACAAAACTTCTAAATGATTTTTCTGATGGTTCTTCTTTCATCACATCGACAGAAAATACCCCGTAAGCCCGATTTTGTCCCAAAAGGTATATAATTTTTCAAACTAAAATGACTTCGATTTGGTTGGTTTGGGGTCTAGATTGCACAGATTCGATTTCACAAAACGCATGTTCCGAGACGCAAAACCGGCAGCATTTCGTATTCGACACTGAAATTAACGCAACTGTGGGCATGCCAGCCCATAGATTTAAACCCTTCTTAGCTACCGAATAGATAAGAATAACTGTGGTCTGATCCCTACAAAATAATACACGAGCTATGTCCCTTCCTCCTTAAGTCCAATTTGTTCACAAAAACGCTGTAACTTTTATCCAATATGTTCTGCACGAGGAACTTGCACATAAAGAAATTATGGTAGTAATTATGATTTCGCCTACATTCATTCAAGAATACTCCCCCCCCCATACACATACCATATTAAAAGTCCCAAGGAATCACAATAGGGGAAGAGGGTCAAATGCTAATGTAGGCTAATTGGTAACCAAAAAGGGAAAAAAATAAGTTTTGTTATGGCGTCGTCCAGAAAAGTTCAATAAGGTATCTAATCATATTATATTATCAGTATCCGAAAATAAAATGAGTTGTCTACATGTTCTGCATATACTGATAAAATATGATTAGACACCCTAATCAACTTTTTTGGGTATGACAAAAATCATTGTTTGCATTTATAATTGGCATATTTGACCCCCCCCCCCCTTCACCTTATTGCGAATCCTTGGGACTTTTGATACGGTATTTATAGTGTCTAAATCGTTTCTTTTGCAATTTGTGGTTACTTAAAAATTAACTAAATAAAAAAAACAAATAAGCTATATACAGTTACGGTGTATGTTGTATATTATAACGATAAAGAAATGTTAAATGTGTTATACCACATAATAGAATAGAATCTTGTTTGATTGTAAAGGTGAGAGATAGAGAGAGAAATGGGGCTTAACGCCCACTCGACCCAAACTAGGTCATTTCGGAACTAATGTATATCGCAACATAATGTTTCAATATTTTTTCAATAATTCGCTGTCGTGTAGGGGTTTCTATTGGACAGACGAGCCTACTCATTGTCACGTACAAGCGGAGAATCGAACCCACGCTATAGACCGAATTATTTCACGCGCACGCTTTAAACCACTAGACAACCCAACACTCCCGGTTGTAAAGGGTTAAAGTTATTATTTACATAATGATCAATTGGGTCAATATAGAGGCTTGTGTTAAAAATAGAATACATACGCAGTAATAACAACGCTTGCATAAGTCTCACATTAAAATCGTTTGCAAAAATAATAAAAGCTGTTTGATTCTTCATACAGATGACATGTGCAAGAGGCAGGCTGCGATGTGTTTTTCTAAGACATCGATGAAGAAAAAACGAGGACACATTATTAGGCCACAACACAGGCTACTGAAATGCACCTGTCCTCAGAAAATTTAGAAGAAGAATAGTTAAAGATACATTTTGTAAGATGTAGATAAAGTGTTGGCCGTTCTGGCTATATAAGTTCAAAAATAGATAATGCAAAATGAATATATTGAAAATTTCATTCAAATTACTTTATTCTAAGCAAAGTAATCACTGTTTGAAATATTGACAATATGTGACATATATTGTTTATTACCGTAGTAACGGTATTGGTTATTCGAGACTAAGCCTCGATCCACCATTTTTAAATTAAATCATTAAATGGCGATCATGTTTCAATCCGTTAAATCTCTGCCACCCGATAATTTAGAGAGTTGATTATAGGCTTGTCATCTGAGTAAGTGTGTAAATAATAGTTTATTTATCATTTGAAGCCAAAATAAAGACATGCAGTACGCAGATTTAGCTCTTACATAATTCACCTTTAACGTCAATATAATAAAATACTCGTTTTCTTCTAAAAGTCATAATATTTCGATAGCATTGGGCGGAAAATATTTATGATCGTGAGGTAAGAAGCAAGATGGGTGGTTACAGATGGCCCTTTCTTCATTTTTAGCAAATGATATCTGTTCCCAAATACGCTTGGTCCGGAGGTTCAGTGCGGAGGGGTGTCTATCAAAGGGGCACCAAACCAGACCCAACTTTTCTATAGTAAAATTTCGCGTGGAATACGATGCCGGGTGGTAATCAGTCCGCCGCTGGGGCGTTTTCGAGATATTCGGGGTCAAAGGTCAAATGAGTTCATTTGCACTGAAAGTGAATGCGCAGCCATTCTTGTATCACGAAAATAAGCTGAAAATAATCGAAAGTAATCACCCTTTCAATAAAAATGTAAATTGCTAAATTCACCTTTGTTTTTTGTGAACCCGGGGACAAAGTGTATGTGTAGCCATTGAACCAAATAAAAAACAAAACCCTCATATTTTTTTTAATTTGACACAAAATCACATAAGACTGTGCAACAAGACATTGTGTTGGAATTCAATATAATAATATATTATGGTTCCATTATAGGGTTAATTTTGTTTAGTAAATTTATATAATAATAATTATTATATGTATGTGTTGAATGTCAATGCTGAATCGGGTCAATATATAGGGGTGTGAATATACTGTGTCACAGACGTGACGTGAACACTTCTAGATACTGGCGGGTGCAGACTTTTCTTTGAGTGAGTAGCCTTATAATTTATACATTACAACTTTACCAGATATATATTCATCATATTAACACTATTCTTCAACATGGCTAAACTTCTTTGATTTGGGTCACACTTTACACCTGCCTAGATTCAGAGTTGTTATAACTTCAGACTGCGGATATAAGTATCAAAGAATCTATAATAGATTACAATCTCATTAATCTTACGAAAATGTGAATTTTGAGTAAAGTGCAGACATCATTTATCAATACAAATATTTCATTCCTTTGGATGGTATTTAAAAATAATGGACACCATATACCAAGGACGTTGCTTTTGGGCGCTCTATAGCCTAAAATTATTATCCGATTGACCCACATGTATATACTGGCTATTGTCAACACTATCCCAACATTAATGTAAGGTGTATGGCCCTTGGTCAATTAAAATAACCGTTTGGGCACCCCTAGAGGCTATAGTTATTATACGATTGACTTGAAATCTATTAGAAGAAATTATATTCATGAGCTGGACTCTAGAGATTACACACAGTAATTCTCTTTATGACATGACAGCGACTATGTCCGATAACCCGAATATCTAAAATTATCATGTGGCTACAGATCACTAATGATTTCCCGATTGACTTTAATGTTAATTCTCATATGTTCGACCGGCTCTAACCCTTTCCCAAATTTTCGTTGGGTAGAACGCTTTCTACCACAGATGGAGCAACATGTGGCAACCTCTTGCCCAAAAGCACGTACGAGGTTCACCATGGAAAACTTGAGATACACAAGCTGGAAGTAGAGACAAGTAAACATGCAATTTTCGCCCCTACATTTCAACCTAACCAACCTCTCAACTCTTGTATCCTTCCGCCTAAAAATCATGAATATTCACTAAAACCGGACAGAAAATGTATTTTCAAGCCCCTTTCTTCGATTTTACACCAAATGTGACCTAAAATCGCCATGCAAAAGGGGGGAAAGGGAAAGGGAGAGAAAGACTAAAAATAACTTTCGACCTACATTCTACGGTGTAGAAATATTTGGGTGACAGCGTAGAAATATTTGGTGAGTTGTGTCCATATGAATACAGGTATATGTTTTATTTATGTTTGCTGTAAAGAACCCTTTCAAATACTAATTATTTCTGATAATTACTTTACGAGTAGCTTCCCATGATCAGGTGCTGTTGGCGTATGTTCCGGTAACTTACAACCGATATTTTATGAAACGCTGTAGATGGAGTAGATTGACATATATTTTTATCTGCATGTTTTGTGTCTATTCTTTTTTGTTGTTTTCTTCTATTAGATCGCAGAAACTTAGAAAATGTTAGAATCTATTGTAAAACAGATTACCCTGTCTTGGACAAGTCAAGCACTGTTACTGGGTCTAACAGTTGGTCTGGTTACGTATTATACATTTGGAAAGAAGAAATACAAATTGCCCCCAGGACCCTGGGCGCCTCCTTTGTTAGGTCACCTAAGAGGTAAACATTTTTAGCCTATTGATTATGAAAATCCTGTCCAGATTTTTTTCTAATATAGATTCTAGTTATTGGACGTTTTAAAATTGTTATCCTAACCCTTACTATGCTTATTCTGATTTGCTCAAACAAGTTGCTCGATCACAGAGCATGGATGCAAGTCACATTGAATTAAGCATTTAAGTATTATTGTTTTTTTTAAAATACATTTACTTGGACCCAAAGAGACAAATCCGACTGCTTTTTCAGTTAAGTAAGAATTGCAGTTAAGTAATCATCTTCAAGGGATAAATTCAATGCTTAATTATTCTCCTACAACTCATTGTGGTTTCACGGTGGCTAAGTGGGAAAGACGCTGGCCCGCTAACCTGGAGGCCGAGTGTTCGATCCCTGCATTGGCCGATGAGACAGTTCATCCAGATTTTCCGGCGTGGTTCCCCCTTATTAGTGATGCCTGGCAAGGACAGTTGTCTAGTCGTTCGGATGGGACGGAAAACCGAGGTCCCGTGTACACATTGGCGTGCACGTATAAGATCCCTAGCAAAATTACCCTCATAGCACATTGTATGGCGTATGCCCGTCTTCATTAGCCCAGTTCGGAGTAGAACAGCAGGACGTTGAACCCAATTTCACTTCATTTCACTGTTGTGTCAGCTATATTTACAACGTATGTTGTCTGGATTGTGCTTATGTATGGCGGGTTTGAAAAAAATGAATATTTAATTATTTCGTTCATTTAATAAAGAAAATAACCATGATAAATAGGTGTTGTAGGCAGTCATGTTCACTCTAAGCAAAAACTCCTATGACATTCCAATTAAACCTGTCTTACGGATCATTTTAGTTATTTATTCTTGAGAATAGATCAACTTTTTTTTTTTCAGAAATAAATTCTCCTCCACCAATCTTTAAAAAGTTATTAAAATGGAGAAAAGAATACGGTCCAGCAATCACGATATATTTTGGTAATTGTATTTTTGTGGATTCAGTAGTTTATAATCAGTGTACAGTAGATTGAACAGCGTGCCAATCTGTTAATTAGGTGAACAAAAATGAAATTATGGAATTCTTTCCCTTTTAATATAAGATGCTGCACAAATTTAATCTCTTTTAAGTTACTTCTTACAACATTTTTGTTTAAGAAAGCCTTTAACTTATAATTCTTTTAAAACCTATTTGTGATATCAGATTTTATTCTACGCTACTGTGTTATGTTTTACCCTAAAGGACACAAGTTTTAAAGTGTTATATGACCTTTTAAAAATATGATGAATATAAGAACCTATGTTTGAAAGCGGAGTGAGTAGGTCGTTAAACCCCATTTCATTTCATTATATGCATAATTTATATAGAGATAAATACAAAAAAACCCATAATATCTATTTAAAGTAAAATAAACAAATATCAGGACTGACGTATTGACATAAGCGTTTTAACAATCGCCGCCATCACTCTAGATGGTTTTCCATATGTATGTATAAAGATATATCTTCACGTAACATAACAAAATTGTACGCATTCTTGTCACAGCGAACAATATTGATATGATTATTACACAATTATCTTACTTTTATAGGTCCATTAAAGTGTGTAACATTAAACAGTGCTGATTCTGTCAATGAAGCATTAGTAAAGAAAGCAGCTGATTATGCTGGTAGACTTCAGACTTGGTCAAGTAAGTGCACATAAGTCATATTTTGACGGGTTTTTTTTGTGTTTTGATCATTTCATTCATCGTCCTTCGGCCAGTTCTGACAAATAATGCCGGGAATGTTTACTTGGCATAATCGCTGTAGTAATTACTAACGGATAGTGGATTATATTTTATAGTAGATGATACTTTGTCTTCAATTGTATTTGATATTGCTGTAATTGTGTATATTTTAGTGGGTCATATATCTGATGGTTACAAGAACATTGTATTTTCTGATGTCAACCCGTCATGGAAACAACTTAGAAAGATTGGCCTTCAAGGTCTAAGGTAACTCACGCTTATTGAAAACTACCAAAAATAACCCTCTTCCAGTTACATCCTTGAGGTTCTTACTCGCAATAGAATAATAGTCCACAATACTGCATGTTCCTGAAGCAACGACTGCGAGTTTTACAACATCTGGACGTTGCTCGATTACTTCACGATCTAGGTACGTTATCTACAGACACGTGAACAGTAGCGTCCAATCAGAGGTTGTGACATAACGATTTCGACGGAAACCTTGATATTGAACGAACCTTGAACTTTGCAACTCGATTATCACAGGTAGACATTTTAGCTAGAAAGCGCGAGACTGGGTATTCGCGACGATCCAGGAATCTGATAGGCTCACAAGCTGGGATTGTGCCGAAATGTGGAGATTATTACGCGTAGGCCTTGATAAGCCAGATCAAGTCTTCTACTGAAGATGGCAATACTGTCAATATCCAACAGACACCAATGCCGCTCTTTCAGGCATGTCTATTGGGGTATCTTGCGAAGTGTCAAAGTGCTGCACAACAAAAAATGAGCTCCCTCATCTTCAACCATATGAAAAATAAGTAAAAAGAACACTCAAGGCTTGGGCATGCATTAATTAAGATTATCAGTGACTGGGCCTGGATAAGTGACATTGGGGACGAGAAATAATAAAAAAGACAAGCTGTACGGAAGCTCAAATACGAACTATTTTTGTTTATTTCTTTTCCTATTTTTATTTTCAATTTTTAATTTTGAAAAAATTAATTTCGAATTTCTATTTTTTAATTTTCGATTTTGTACAATAATTTTCAATTTTGTAATTTTTAATTTTTAATATTTATTTTTTATTTTCAATTTTGTACAATAATTTTCAAATTTGTACAATAATTTTCAAATTTGTACAATAATTTTCAAATTTGTACAATAATAATTTTCAATTTTGTACAATAATAATTTTGTACAATAATTTTCAATTTTGTACAATAATTTTCAATTTTGTACAATAATTTTCAATTTTGTACAATAATTTTCAATTTTGTACAATAATTTTCAAATAGTCTCAATTGTCCATTTCATGATTAAATTATGAATGGAAGTCGAACAGCAAATCGGAACCTAATCCAATAAACATCGCAGGCTAGCGATGCCATCGAGAGTTGATTATGGTCTGGATAGGTTAAATAATGTCTGATTAATAATTTAGATAACATTTCAGGCCTAAAGAAAGACCTGCAATAGGCAGATTTAGGTCTTGCATAATGTATCTATACTAATATTTGTGACTGTCGTTTGTCTGTCTGTTCGGGGTTGGCGGCTAGGCCTGCCTTGAGTCTGAAATTTGGGGTGTAGGGGTAGCTCGGACCGTGGAGTAACATAGGACAGGTGGCGTTAGTCTACTACTTCCGGTTTCGGGGTTATGACCCCCGAGCGAAGCCGGGCATTCTTCTAGTGTTTAATAAAACAAAAATAACATATCATTCAGTCTCTGCCACTATAAGCCCACAGAGCGACCTAGCTGATGGAAACTTCACATCATGTTTCTCCTATGAATTAAAATGGCGCCTAATTTGCTACGCCTATTTTCGCTCTTTAATATTCCCCGATTTCTAGGATGGGCGATTTATTAATTATTGAATTCGTTAATTAGTAAGAATTAGCTATATATGGAAATGTAAGTTTGGTTTCATATCTGGTAAAGTTCCACTAAGGTTCAATTACTTTATCAATTTAAAAAAATAAACAGACAGGATTTGTTGCCTAACTAACCTATGGGTCATTTCAATATATCAATATATCATCTATTTCCGTTAGATTACGTGACGTCTATCTAATAAAACAATATTTAGGTCGAGGCTAAAATACTGATGAGTTATGAATGTTTGAAGAATAACGTAGTCTCGATTTTCTTTGCTACCGTTGTTACGATCAGAAACAACCGTTTAAACCACAGTCACCCGATGGTTTAGAGAGTTGATTATGGAACTGTCATGTTAATAAATGTCTAATTAATAGTTCATATAACATTTGAGGCCAAAAGTAAAATTATCTGCAATGGACAGATGTACTTCTTACATAATGCATCTTTAATGGTATTTGTTTTTCAGGCAATGTCTCTCGGGAAATAAACTAGAAGAGAAATTATTTGAATCCACATCTAAGGTGATGAGAAGAATACAAGAAGAAAATGGAAAACCAGTCGATATACAGAAATACATCAGTTTATTGGTTTTTAATTTACTTCATGGTGTCTGTTTTAATAAAAGGTAATTCTAATAAAATAAAAGGTAATTCTATGGTATATCCTTGTGCAATAATTTGCTCGTGGTAGGTTTTAAGAGTCGGAGGGAACTGGGAATCCAGAAACCATCACTATGCCAAACTTTAGGATCTAAGGCCATGTGTTATTCCAGTGATAAGGTTTTGGAATTTAAAGAAAGGTATGTGGAACTGGCTCCTTGGGGGTCTTGTGCGGTTGGTACAAAATAGTCTTTGATTTCACGCGATTAGGGTTGTTCCAATTAGCCTTTATAGACGTTATTAGTTTCAATTTACGAATCGTACAAACTTTTAATGTTGAATTATTGTGACATCCGTGAAAAATCTATTTTTGTCTGTTACTATGGTGTGGGGTATTGCAGACGAAGTTGCAACTGTTTAACCATTTCAGCCAGAAAGCGTTTCTCAACGGTTTTTAGGTAACGGCCTCCGATACACAAAGCAGAAATTTATAGTATTGCTGTAAAGAAATCGGTATTTACGGGAAATGTATATGATTTCCCAATTATATCTTGCACTAAATAAAGAAATTTTATCATTTCAATGTATTTTCGTTATTAAGTATTTTATATATGCCGCGTTGTCAATTATTGTAAACGGACTTCTCTATATTTCCAGTTTCGATATAGACGACCAATTATTTTTGAAACTATTGAATGTTCTGGACGAGGCTACCAATGATTTTGGAAACGGATTCTTTGAAGATGTTTTTCCACCACTTCGGAGATACCCCACGGCAAAATTTAGGAAGATTATGTCAACGTTTGCTTATTTCCAGAATTTCATAAATGATGAATTCAATAAACATTTTGAGAATTTTTCAGAAGGTTGGTTATTTTTTTTTAAGTTTTACTGGTCGAATGCGACCAGCGTATCTTGTTTTACTCTTGTAAAGACTCTACAAGTTAGAATCACGCACCTGTCACCGAAATGTGTAAATGTTCTACAGGTGAAACAGCTTTACCGTCCTTTTCATCAAATCTTGTGAACTCGATATAGGCTATACAGTTCTTAACGGATTTTCTTTTTCAAATTTGCGTCTAGCATAGGATCATGAAAAGATTGATGCTACTAATATTCAGTGTTGCGTTCCGCGGTTACGTTCTCTTTTCAGAAATCATTGTGAACGGGACAGAGGTTACAGTTTTCACTCGATTTATTTTTTTTTTACAAATTTGTTTGTGAAGGATCAGGACTAGAAATATCACTATAAACTTTGTTGATTTTCAGCACTCTAGGTCTTTCTGTCCCAGAGATATATTACGTGACTAATCCTTATAAGACATATAGAAATAGATTTCACTAAAAATAAACACACTTGTATGGATATACTACTTCTGAATTTTATGAACATGCTACGTTTCAATACACATACAGGTATCGTTATCAAGCAAATAATCATTAATTAACAAAAACGTGGTGCAATATTTAGATGAACACTTTGGGGGGGGGGGGGGCATGAACCACACACTTAGGATTGAGTAAATCTACCCATAGATTTGGGAGAAAATGTCCTGAGTCTCTGTTTAATTTAGGCTTATGTTTCTGGATTTCTAGGGCTTCTCTGAGAATTCTGTTTTTCCACACTGTCAAGTTCCTGGCTAAAATTCAGAAGTAGTATATCCATACAAGTGTGTTTATTTTTAATATTACGTGACTGGAAATTCTTGGGAACACGATGGAGATAAGATTAGTCGTAAAGGATCATTATCAATTTTATCAACATCAAAGTTTTCAATTCTGATAAACTGCTATCTGTGACTATAAACCGGAGAGGGTGCTTAATGTCGTTTAGGAAAGAACTTTATTGTATTTCAAAATATTCTGATGGTAGATTTCTATCTTTTTGTGCATATTTTTGAATTTAAAGCACGGTGTAGAGTTATAGATGGATTTTTCAACTTTGCACTTTAGGATTTGTTGACAATGATTTTAGATTTAGCACGGACGACATCAACTGCTGGCGGACGTATTAGGAGACTTTCAAGTCACCGTTTAATACGATTAATTTAGCCTTTTATTATTCCAGATAATATGAACGACATTACAGATTTTTTGCTCAATGCCAGAAAACAAGCTGTTCTGGAAGATCCTGCTGTAGAGTCGATTATCACTAACAGTCATCTCTCCCAAACCGTTAAGGATATATTCATTGGTAAAATATAAATTAATTCATCCGTTCTTTCTCTTGACCGATTCTTATTTCAATCACAATAACCAATTCATATGGTAAACTTCGATAGTATGTTGTAAACTTTGTAAATTACTATTGTGATTGATGGGTGTTAGTCCTTCTATACCTTCAAAGATTTGGGGAAATTTGCCGTGAGCATATTTTGAAAAGTGGGCACTTCAATATAAATATTGAGTTATAACCAATTATATGTCGACAGTCGATACAGTAAACCACAAATTCAACTAAAATTAGTAAACAAGCCGACTTCCGACAAATCAAATATTTGTTGACAGAACGGTGGTTGATATCGGAAGAAATTAAAGAGAAACGGGCTATCATTAATCTGATGCTTTTTCTACATGTATATATTAGATCTGATTATTATTCTACATGTATATATTACATCTGATTCTACAAGTATATATTACATCTGATTCTACATGTATATATTACATCTGATTCTACATGTATATATTACATCTGATTCTACATGTATATATTATATCTGATTCTACAAGTATTACATCTGATTCTACATGTATATATATATATATATTACATCTGATTCTACATGTATATATATTACATCTGATTCTACATGTATATATTACGTCTGATTCTACATGTATATATTACATCTGATTCTACAAGTATTACATCTGATTCTACATGTATATATATTACATCTGATTCTACATGTATATATATTACATCTGATTTTACATGTATATATATTACACCTGAATCTACAAGTATATATAACATCTGATTCTACAAGTATATATTATATCTGATTCTCCATGTATATATTACAGCTGGTGTTGATACAACCAGACAAACTATCACCTGGACTATTCTATTATTAGTAACACATCCAGAAATACAGAAAAAAGTTCAAGATGAATTAGATCAAGTATTAGGTATGTTAATCAGGACTATCACCATTTGAATGATAGGCCTATTAATAAAGAATTGCAAATGTCTATAATGGTGAGGATGCATTATATTGGACTGGCACATCACATATATCTGATTAGTTGTAGCCTATTTCGGTCAACTTATTTTCATCACGTACGATAAAATATTGATATAATCCAAAATAATATCGCCCAATCGTTATTGTGTTTTAACAATTTATTTAATAGATGCTGGACAAGCCCCCACCTTAGGTGACAGAGAAAGACTATCCTACACCGAGGCTGTTTTACACGAGAGTATGCGACTGTGTCCAGTTTTACCAATTGGATTACCACATACAACCCGCTGTGATACAACTATTGGTAATTTTATGACCTTAATTATTTCTTTGCTCCCGATTTCAATTATATGTATTGTCTAGAAATATGTTTTTAATGAGCTGTTTTTATTTCATTTTGTGTATTCTTGGGGATTATCCTGCATTATTATATAAGACAGAATGTGCTTATTTTAAAACCCTTTTCGTTGGATTATAATAAGCCTTTGTTTACAATTTTACGTCTATAAATAAAGGCAACGCGATATGTTTTCCAGTGTGGACACATTAAGCCGGGAGGGGTAGTAAACAAGCCGACTTTTCCGCTTAACTTTATGATATTCCCATGTAGCAATATTCTGGATCACGGCAGCAAATCGAACCTGTAACACTATCCACCCTTTTGACCGTGTTTCCCAGCTTCAAATCATTGACTTCTCGTTGGATTTCAATATGAAGTTCAATATACGTGTTTATTTAACAGTAAAACTTCACTAATATAAAATTCACAACAGCAATGCTATATATATTATATATATTATATTATAACAAAGAGGCTAAATAATGTCTGCCTCGACCGCTAGTCCGAACCGACTGATATAGGATCCAACTTTAAGATCTCTTCATCATTGCGGAAGGATGTCTAAAAGAAACCGTGCTCCATTCCTTTAAAGTTTTTTTTCCCCAAGCTTTATCATAATGTCCTAATATGGTTTAATGTTTAAACAAAAATATGCTCAACTTTATAGAACTAGATGTTTGACGTCAGTGGGAAACAACAGCGGAGTCTACATAAAATCTTATTGCTGACAGATAATTTTCGATAGTTTAAAAAACAAGCTGTTTACGAATTTGGAATAAATTCGCGGTCTTTTGTTATAATTATACCAATATTTAATACTTTTTCTGGTAGCGTATTTTGTGACAGCATTGCTCATTTTGTAGATAAATAATTTAATTTTTAACAGGTGAATACGAGATACCTAAAGGTACTATGGTGGCGATCAACCACTGGGCGCTTCACAACGATCCCGAAGTTTGGAAAGATCCCGATGTCTTCAGACCAGAAAGATTCCTGGACGAATATGGAAAACTGGAGCCTAAAACTATGTCATGGCTGCCATTTTCTGCTGGACGTAGAAATTGTTTGGGTGAAACTGTTGCTAGACCCGAATTGCATCTTATGTTGGCTCTACTTCTGAGGAATATGAAATTTAGTTGTCCAGATGGTCAAACAATGGATATGAATCCATTGGCTACTAACAGTTCAATCTCCTTTGTTCCTCCTTTAAACTATGTGATCGCAGAGCAGAGACAATAAATTGGTTGCACAGAAGGGGGTGGGACTAGGAAATTAAACTCGTAGTTTCTGAATTATGGGACCTGAAGGAATGTTCTAGCCCGTCTACACAATAACTAGTATCTATCCACACCTTTTAATTGTCTATGAAACAGACTAATGACTATTTGTTATGTTTGTGATATTATTAATCAATATGAAATAATGATATAATAGGTAGTAGTGTAGAGGCTACTGTAGGGTGTAGACTATGATTTAAATTTAAAAGTAGTCCATAAATTCAGCAAATTTAGACCTGATGTATATATGACTATTTGTTATATTTGTTATAACATGTAATAATAACACTGGTGAGGTCAATGCTGCAGTAGGGATGGCCTAGGATTTATAAACGTATCCCATAACCTTAGACTGGAGTATTCTTATAATGACTCTTATAAATGACTAACAATAAGGTAGTTTTGAAATGTTTACACTCAAAAGAATAGTTCATGTAAATGTTAAGTGAAGACCTGCAAATTGTTTATAAAATTCAAAGAAATAAATAAATTCCAATTCCAATTAAACCAGTTAACCTTATGTTCAACATTTGAAGATATTTTATGAAGGGCGCACGAAATTGAACTTAATGATATAAATCTGGCAAATTGTACAGAAATAAGCTTAGAAAAAATAAGAGCAAAGACATTCAATTTGTGGGTGGAAAAGGCAGTTATGTGCCGTCTACAAACAAGACGGGGCACATATTTATCATTTGTGGACGTCAAACTGGACGGTAAGGGATGGTGTCATTATATGGCCATATTAAGATGTGAGCGGGGGAGTACATAGACTCTTTATGTTGCCCATTTTTATCCAGAACACTCTTTAAATTAACATAATGCAGACAACTAAATCAAAGACGTTACATAATATTAGACCAGCTTCGTTCACAGTTAATATTGGGGATTTCAAAAATAAATAATAACCAAGGCAACGCCTTCACCATCCCCACCCCCGTTCCACTCCTCTGCCCTCCTCTCATTCTTTCTGCTCAATGCAGAAGTGACATCTTTACCATAATATGTATTATCATACATCGATTATACCACTTCAGAATCATTTATAAACCCCAGAAAGATCTGTTGATTCAGGAAAGATCGGGGTGTTGGTCCTTTTGGATTTATCAACTGCTTTCGACACTACTGATCACGGCAACTTGCTAGATCGACTGTGATCAAACTATGAATTAACTAGACCCATTCTAAAATTGTTTTCATCTGATCTCACTGGTCAATTTCAATATGTTGAAGTTAACAACTCATCATCAATTCATCAACAACTATCATGTGGCGTTCCCAAGGATGCGTTAAGAGTCCCACAATCTTCACAATATATACTAAGACATTGGGCAAACTAGTTCGTGATCACAATCTGCTGTATCATTTTTATACTGATGATTATCAACTCATTTCCAATGGATCAAAACACCGTCATCAAGAATTTGGAAGGTTGTCTACATAATGGATGTCATCTAACATACTTAAACTAAACGATGAAAAAAAAACGAGTTTCCAATCGTGGGTCTTGCTCACAGACTCGAGTAGTGTGACATTCAATCGATCAACACTGGAAAAAAAACGACATTACTGTGTCTAGAACTGTAAGGAATCTTTGGGTTCTCTTCGACTCTCGTCTCAGTTTTGAAGATCCACGTGGTCGGGTCCATTGTCATCTAATAATAGAAGATGATGCTTCAACCTTACCGCGATCCTGTGTGCTGTCCAGAAACGAATATTGTAATTCTTTACTAACTGCCATTACGGACGAGCAATCATTAGCTCCAATCATTACAAAACAGTGCCCTTACATAAGTCCAAGTCACCAATCACCCAGTCTTAAACAAATTATATTGGCTCCGTGTTCAAAAAAGGATTAACTTTAAAATCTTATCGCTAACTTATCGCGCGATTAACAAATTTGCTCCAGGTTATCTCCAGAATCTAATATAATTGTATCATTCTAAACGCCCATTATGATCAAAAGGCAAATTATTATTGGATGTATTTGAAATCAATCCAGAACCTTTCGATACAGTGCGTCAAATGTGTGGAATATACTTCCAAACAATATCCGACAATGTTATTCTGTGTCAGTTTTTAAATCCAAAGTGGAATCTTGGTTATTTAGTCACTATCATTAACGTCGGTCGGTCGGTCGGTCTCGAGAGAGAGAGAGAGAGATAGAGAGCAAAATGGGGTTTAACGTCCACTCGACACAAAGTAGATCATTTCGGGACTAACACATGGTTGGATTTTATTTCAATAATTCGCTTGTGCGTAGAAGTCTTTAGCAGTGGGAGGAAACCGATGGACCCGAAGAAAACCTACGAAGTTGGACAGGCGACCCACTCCTTGGCACGTACATCCGGGGAATCGAAACCACATCAGTTGACTCAATGACAGACCGTATGATACAGCACGTACGTGCTAACCATTCGGCCATCCAACCCCCCTACAAGTGTGTTGAACGCTCTATCTGGACCAACCGCACGTGCAACCATTCGGCCATCTAGCCCACAACCCACCTCCTCTAGCGCCTAGAACATTTTCTAGGGGATTGAATAGTTGCGCGATACAAATATCAGTATTATTATTACTATTATTGGAAAGACCCCTGGTTTGTCCCTGGGGCAAAAAAACTCTAAATAACGATATGTACAGAACGTTTTTGCGTAAATCATTAAATGTTGTTATATTCATATCAGCGATTCTGATGAAGAAGTCGGAAATGTAAATATTATTTACACCAGAACACCCGGCATAGGCCAATCTAATCAAATACAAATATCAATTCAAGGTTCGTTCCTTACCGAATCTATACAAGCTAACGAAGAAAGAGCGCCAAGGCAAAATAAGTTCAGAGAATAATAATTTTATATTTCATTTTACCTCTTCTACAATAAGACCCTTTTATTTCTTCCATAACTAAAGCAATTTTCTCTCTTAATTGATTAAGAAAGGTGGCAATCTAAGATAAAATGTTCATTCTGGAATATTTAACTTTTTATCTGTGTTCAAAGTGTCTTTTAGTAACACACAAATCAAATATCCTTTATGTCGCGGTATCCTCTATCCAGTAGCTTCAAGTAGTTGTGGGCGTCAAGTTTAAGGGCACTGACAACGCTTCTCTTTTTGAATAGAATTGTATACGAACTATATGAATAGCTGAAAGGAACGATTAGAACAAAGTTTCGTAAATACCCTGCTAAAAAAAAAAAAAAAGAAAAATAACACCTCCTCTCCCGCCACAACCACCACCAAACAAAACGTAATATGACATAACTTTGGGCTATTGCGATATAGTATCAAACGATCTAAGAATAAAGTGGTTTAAAAATAAGTCTGACTGCGGATTTCACTTCTATATTGAAACAGGAACATAACATCAACAAAATAATAGGTTGTAGGTATAAGACCCAGCGTAATAATTCACGGCCGCCTTCGTTCTATCTTGTGAGTTCTGATGATCTCAAATACAAATGAAATGAAATGGGGTTTAACGTCCTACTGTTCTGCTCCGAACTGGGCTAATGAAGACGGGCGTACGCCATACAGTGTGCTATGAGGGGAATTTTGCCCGGACAGCGGCACTACGGCCTACTCTTATATCGAATACCAACTGTCAAGGGATCTTTTACGTGCACGCCAATGTGTACACAGGACCTCGGTTTTTTTTCCTATCCGAACGACTAGACAGTTGTTCTTGTCAGACCCTCCGTCCTGCATCACTGACAAGGGGGGGGGGGCACGCCGGATGACCTCAAATACAGATCATTTATAACGGTCAAGGTGTTACCGACACACTTATTAATGTTTAACAAACAAGGTATAATACATCTTACACAGAGATGAACAAAGTATATCTTAATACCCTTCATTAAAACGAGAAAGAATTATAATACTTAAATCTAACACTATGAGGAGAAATTAACTATCTATTACTTAATTTATCCACGTGCTACACACCTGCCAATATTATTTTATTACATTATGTAAATAGTCCTATAGTTATGCTCCGACTGGGCTAATGGAGACGGGTATACGCCATTCAGTCAGCTATGAGGGTAATTTTGCCCGGACAGCGGAGCAGCGGCTTACTCTTATATCGAATTCCAACTGTCAAGAGATCTTTTACGTGGACGCCAATGTGTAAAAGGACCTCGGGTTTTCGTCCCATCTGAACGACTAGACATCTGTCCTTGTTAGGTCCTCCGTCCTGCACCACTGACAAACTGTTCATATTAACGCACGCAAAATGTGTTAACTCATTAAATAGACTTCGTTTCAAAATGGTTCAATAAAGTTTACCCTTGTGCATACTTACACGCGTTCGTTTCAGAGAAGTTAACGTTATCTGATGTATTGATAGGCATATGGATATAACCAATGCTCATCCAGGTCGATATGCAGGCTGTTTTAAGAAAAACAACAAAAGATTACTTAGTTTATGCACATGTATGCATATATATAGACACGGATCAGTTGGGTCATTATATAGGCTTGTGGCTATATGTCAAACATAAATCAGGTATACAGTAAAGCAACATACAAACTAAGGTATCACTGTGTTCACTTAGATTACTAGTTCATAAAAGAGAACAAGTGCAGGTTTGCCTTAAGTGAGTAACATTATATTTTGTATTAACAAAGAATTATCGTTTTTTTAAGAAAAGCTGTATTTTTATCGATGTTTCATGTTTATTTTTTGTTTGTTTTTAAATAGATCGCAAAAGCATCGAAAATGTTCGAATCCGTTGTAAAACAAATTCCCTTATCTGTTGCTTGGTGTAACACTTGGTTTGGTTACGTATTATACATTTGGAAAGAAGAAATACAAATTGCCCCCAGGACCCTGGGCGCTCCCTTTGATTGGTAACCTAATAGGTAAATATTTTAACTTCTTCTCTGTCGTCCGTCCGTCCGTCCAAACGGTCTACTGGTCAGATTTTTTTTAGGAAGGAATCCAATTGAAATTCAGAGCTACGCGACAATTGTCCCTTCCCTGCAACTGAAACTGTTGTAGCTCTTGCTGGTATTGTCCCAGGGCTCCATTAAGAATATCTCTATCAAATTCAAAGTGTCGCAACACATTGTAATTGTTAGAGTGTTTTTGAAAAACTTGCTAAGGTTATCTAGTTAGTTCTAAAGGGGAACTATGTCGTAATTTATAACAGGGTAATAATTTTTAGCCGAGTTAATGTCCATGTCAAAACATACGGTGGAACCCTTTCGAAATGCCATGGATTATGGAAACGTAAAATCCACCCTTCACGACGGTGAGCGTATATTCGCTGACATTTTTGTCACTTTATGGGTTCCAACAAAATATGGGGGGTATGTTGTTTTGTTTCGATTTATTCCAATGGGTTTGATAGGCATAATAGAAAAAATTCTTACCTTCCGATTGACCCAAAAATTTTCTGACGCCATAGGGGTTTTCCGGGGGCATTAACACGCTATCACCCCTTGGTAGACTGTAATGATCAAATGAACTCTATCGGAACTATAGTGGCGGTTACAGAGCACGTACTTGGATAAATTTGAATATATTAATATATTGAAAGAAGTGAACAACCGATGTTTGTGATTGATACTATATCGATTTTATTCTTTTCAGAAACAAATTCTCCTCCCCTAATCTTCAAAAAGTTATTAAAATGGAGAAAAGAATACGGTCCAGCAATCACGATATATTTTGGTAATTACATTTTTGTGGGTTCAATTTATAAATAGTTTTATCAAAGTCTTTACTACGTAAACCTAAAGACCAATTTTTACGTTTGAAATTTTTAAAGTTTATGTGCCATATAAAAAAATATGATAAATATAATAACTTATATTATATTATTTGTAATTGTGGTGTTGATGTACTGTACAACACAAACAATTACTGTAGGATGATCCATACGAATAGGGATTATATCATGATAAGTTTTGAATATAAGATAACAAAATTGTATGCATTCTTGTTACAATAAACAATAAACATTCTGAATATTAGATAATTATCTTACTTTTATAGGTCCGTTAAGGTGTGTAACATTAAACAGTGCTGATTCTGTCAATGAAGCATTGGTAAAGAAAGCAGCTGATTATGCTGGTAGACATCAGACTTTTTCAAGTAAGTTCACATATTCTTAAACCTAACCCTGGACCCAGCCCCAATGCTTACCATAACCCTAACCTACAATCTCGCCAACAATTGCTTGTCCTAACCTTATTTACATCTTAGCGACCTTGACAAAAATTGATCTTTCCTTAACAAATAGATTTAACCTATGTTTCACATCTTTATTTGACTATAGCACGATTTCGGCTTGAGGAAATATCTATATAATTTTATATCTTACTTAGCTTCGTATTTGACATAATTACTATGTGTTCATCTACTTATAATTGGTATTGCTTTAATTACTTATATGACAGTGGATGCTTTTTCTGATGGCTACAAGAACATTATATTTTCTGATGTCAACCCGTCATGGAAACAACTTAGAAAGATTGGCCTTCAAGGTCTAAGGTAACACAAGCTTATTGTAAACTGCCAAAAATAACCCTCTTCTCGGTTACACATTTGACGTTCTTACTCGTCCACCCCTTAAATGTTTCAATCAAATGTCATCTTTTCAAGCATGCCCCTCACACAGGCATGGTTACCTTTACCTATTAGGAAATCCCTTCGTCGTGTCAACATAAAACAGCCCCCCCCTACCCCCAACAAAAAATATAAACCCACACGACAATAACCTTTATATGCCCACTCACATCATGCTAAGGGTTGATACGAGAAATATTGAAATGGCAAGATTTTCAGAGAAAACATTAACACCATATTCCTGAAGCAATGGCCCGACAAATTCCTCTCTGACCATTGCTGGATTGGCTTCGGATACTTGAGCTTATGGAGGAGTGTGGCTATTCTTCCCGTTCAATCAAATCTATCTCAAGTACAGCAACGTGGCAGCCCTTCGTTTAATCTGGAATCTTCCCTAGTGATTTAAGGTATTAAAAACGGTGAAAGTATTGTTCCTCTCCAAACAGTATTGTTTACATTGTATGCGTTTTGTTAGCCTCGTTTGTCGCGTGATAACATATTTGGTCCAATTTGGAACTCTGTTTAAGGCGTAATGATATTTTTACGCAGTTAGCTATTGGTTGTTAATCGGACTATTGACCAGTCATAATTTGGAACAGCAATTTGCTTCCATTACAGCAGTGTTAAGTTGGATTAGGTCTAATCAAAAGAAACACCGCGAGGAGTATGCATGAACACAAATCATATGATTCCCGTTTCAGGCAATATCTGTCAGGAAATAAACTAGAAGAGAAATTATTTGAATCCACATCAAAGGTGATGAGACGAATGAAAGAAGAAAATGGAAAACCAGTCGATATACAGAAATACATCAGTTTATTGGTTTTTAATTTACTTCATGGTGTCTGTTTTAATAAAAGGTAATTCTGATATAATAAAAGGTAATTCTAATACAATAAAAGGTAATTCTAATACAATAATAGATAATTTTAATATAATAAAAGGTAACTTTAATATAATAAAAGGTAACTTTAATATAATACAAGGTAACTTTAATAAAAGGTAACTTTACTAACAAAATATAATACAAGTGAAATGAATGGTATTTGTGTATAGGATACAGCACGAGACTGAGTTTATGCTGGGGAAAGAAAGACTGAAGAAAATAACCTAAGAAAAAGAAAAACCGGGGCCGACAGGACGAGTTTTTTGTGACGAGGGTTTTTTCTGAAGTCTTTCTTCCCCAGCATATCCAAAGTCGAGGACTTTATCTTGCTTATAAACCGTCTATGTTTACATGTACGCAAAATGAGAATATCACAGAATTCCTATAAGAATAACCTTAGATCATGTTTTCTTATGGAAAAATAAAACCTTGCCCTGGAAGAAAAACTTTCAGAAGAATAACCCCAAATTTCTCTGTATATATCCAAAGCCGCCCCCGACTTTTAGACCTCAAGGTATTCCGGACATAGAATATACCCCAAAGATCAAAGAGATTTACCGTTACAGTTTTATAAATTACAATAAAAGATAGCTCTAATATAATAAAAGGTAATTCTAATATAATAAAGGGTATTTCTAATACAACAAAGTGCAATTCTTCTATACTCTTCAGACAAAGTAGAGGATATTGAAATGCAGGTTGTGATATGATAAATAGTCAGGGACACTTGATATGCTTTGAGAGTATGTTCACAGATGAAGAACTTATCGCCCCAACAAAGCCACTGACCTGCATGTGCCACACGCAATAGCGCCATACACGTGGGAGGGGTTCATTGTCAAATTTGACACTTCAAGGAAGGGTTGATGAAAACTGCCGCTTGCTGGTTTATCGATATCTATGTTTGCTTTCCTGTCGATACTTGCATAAGATTTACTGTTTAGCGTATCGTTGCTTTAGTGTGTTACATTTAATTTGATCGGGAGACGTGTTCGTCGAGTCAACGTCAACCGACAACACTGCACTGGCACTGAGTGGCACTGCAAGAGGAGTGGGGCAGATTGTCCCAAATCGTGATTGGACGGTTGATTAGGAGCATGCCACGACGAATTGCTGAATGTCTGAGGATTGGTGGAGTAATTACACATTATTAAGACAAAAATCAAAAACTTCCATTTTCACTTTTGACAGTGCTTCTCTTTGCGAGTGAATGGGACTGTCAGATAAGCCGCCCATATGAACTGTTTATGTTCATGTGTATCCAATTGGCCTGTTATTAACATACACTGGTTTCCTCTAATAAAAACAGCAGTGCATTTCCGCAGTTTTGTATGGTTTCTGAATATCCCCTATAGTCCGGTGGTTGAAGGGGGGGGGGGGGAATCGCCACCCGAGCTGTGAATTTATGAGACCAAGTTTTTCTAGACCAGTTTTTTGCGTAGATTCCGAATCTGGGTGGTGATCAGGCGTTTGAGGGGGCGTTTTCGAGATATAGGGGGTCAAATGTCTACAATGGGGGGGGGGGGTGATGTCATTATGTTGACATAATATATTAATAAAACATCAATTTCTAAGACTGCCCATCTATAAATAAGTGTTTATGATGCCCCTGGACAACTGTTTTGATTTATGGGGAGGTGGGGTGGGGGTAGCAGGTGTGCGCGTGTGGAGGGGTGGGATGGGGATAAAATTGGCGGGGAAATGAGTTCATGTTGATTTAAATGATGATTTTCTAAGAGCTTGATGAAACATCTCTAAATATGTTTATAAGATTCCTATTGTATGGGGCTGAACGCCGAGGTGGGTGCCCGCCGTGGGGGGTGGGGACGGGTCGGGTGATGGCGGGTGGCAACATGTATTTTTATGGACAGAAATCATTTCGTTCATAATTGAGCTTAAAGTGGTATCTCGTTAGCGTTCTCATTCAAAATATTAAATTATAATGGTACTTTTCAAGAGATCTGGAAATGTAAATCAAAAACACATTAACTCAGAGATATGTTTAGTTGTTAGTTTATTCTTTGTCTTCATCAGAAGATTCAAAATCAAAAGTTCATATGAGCGAGATAAATATTTATTTGGTTGCTGGCCAACAGCTCGCACCTTTGGATATGCTTCAGAAACCAATTCACATTGAAAATCTTCATTCCAGTCATGCAGCAAAAGACCACGTATACGCCAAGGTGGTTATAAAGAAAGGGCTGTTATTTTTGCACCCAGAAAATCTTTTTTCTAGCGTCATCTAGTGATGTAAGTCGTCTTTCGCGATATTTTCTACCTTTGCCCGTCTCATTATCGATTAAAATTTGTATATTTGGATCATCGTTTGCGAAGAGAATGATTGGGATGTCTATTTCGCCCGAGCAAGAACGCAAAATACAATTTGTTTCAGCACCTCCATTAATTTGCAATGCGAAGAAGAGTAGGTAAGATATTTTGGTGTCCTCGTGGTTGGTTGTCAGTTCTAAGATATTCTCGACACTTTCAATACTAATCTTGATATTTTTTGATCCAATCAAGATTAGTATTGAAAGTGTCGAGAATATCTCGGCCTACATGCTTTCAGTGGTAATGACTATCTGTCTGTCTTTTTCAAGATAATCCCAACTTTCTAACAATTTTTACAGAGCTGGGATAGACAAATGATGCTTCTGATGACGTAATTTCTGGTTTAGAAAAATTGTTTGTACATGTACCTTGTACGGCGAAAACCGACTTACATCAATAGATGACACTAGAAGAAGGATCTTCTGGAGAAATTTTAATTGTGATTAAAAATAACAAAACTTTCTTTCTTTATTACCATCTTGCCCGAGTAGTCTTTTGCTGCACAATAAACGCAATAATTATGTTGCAGCAATATGGAGAAAGGTTGCAAAATTAATGATCGAACAAGATGACTCTGCGATACAAGGCTGGAATTTACAATTTGAATGGGTATCTGAAGCATATCAAAAGGATATACGCATATCAAGAAGATATCTATCCCACTCATATTATTAGAATAAACTAATATCTAAACATGTGTTTTTATGTACATGTGCCATTATAATTTAATATTTTGGCACTGAACGAAAACTCGAGAAAACACTTTTCAAGTCAATTTTGAACCAAGTGGTTTCTGTCCCAAAAAATACATTTAACCCCCCCCCCCCATACAATGGTAATCGTATACACATATTTAGAGATGTGCAGTGGAATTAAAAAGTAATGTTTTACCAAGCTCTAAGAAAATCATCAACGTGAATTCACTTCCCGCCAATTGTACCTCCCCCCCGCCCCATCCATACACGCACACTTGCTACCCCACCCCACCTCCCCACAAATCAAAATAATTGTCCAGGGGCATCATAAACACTTATTTGAAGATGGGCAGTCCTAGAAATTTATGTTTTATTAATATATTATGTCAACATGATGACCCCCCCCCCTCCACACACACACACACCTGCTATCCCCACCCCACCTCCTCACAAATCAAAACAGTTGTCCAGGGGCATCATAAACACTTATTTATAGATGGGCAGTCTTAGAAATAAATGTTTTATTAATATATTACGTCAACATAATGACATTTCTTCCCCCCCCCCCCCATTGTAGACATTTGACCCCCTGTATCTCGAAAACGCCCCCTCAAACGCCTGATCACCACCCAGATTCGGAATCTACGCAAAGAACTGGTCTAGAAAAACTTGGTCTCATAAATTCACAGCTCGGGTGGCGATTCCCCCCCTTCAGCCACCGGACTACTACTCTTTTTGAAGAGTATATAACAAACGGTAATTCTAATATAATAAAAGAAACCTTGAAAGTTGAAAAAGAAGAGTAGACAAGAAACGCAGCTGTGTTGGCAAAATTTCCCTCATTGCACATTGTATGTTGTCCACCCGTCTTCATTAGTCCAGTTGGTGCAGAAGAGTAAGACACAGAACCCCCATTTCCTTTCATTTCATTGTATCTAGTCTAAGATAAACACATGTAGATGTAATTATGATAATTTCAAACAGTTTAATTAACACATTGTTCTATAAGTAGGACACTGCTTCCAATTTTGAGGATTACGTGTTTCTAAGATTGGCATGAATATGATCTTATCAAATGTTGATGACATTTATTGTCTTGCTGGAAGTGACTGTATCTCTTTATCACAGTATTTATGTGGATGAATGTATCAAATTGCATATATTTTAAACACGACCGAACAGTTATCGTTAACGTACTGTTTCTATATTAACAGTTTTGAATTAGACGACCAAATATTTTTGAAGCTGTTGAATGTTCTGGACGAGACTAGCAATGATTTTGGAAATGGCTTCTTTGAAGATGTTTTCCCACCTCTTCGGAAATATCCAACAGCAAAATTTAGAAAGATTATGTCAATGCTTAGTGATTTCAAGGATTTTATAGAAGATGAATGCAACAAACATCGTGCGAAATTCTCGGAAGGTTGGTAATTTTCAAATTGTTCTGGAGATTTTATAAACTATGTGTAAACCGAGGGTGTTTTTTTTTCTTGTAAACATTCTACAGATTATACTCGCCTATTGATTTTTCACAGAGTTACTGTAGCTATCACAGGAACCTTGTTGAAATTTCGAATGCGTTTCTCTGATTACTTTTTCCATTCATATGTTACTTTGTATAGAAATTAAAGATACATTATGGAAATAACGAGCTGGTAGTACTCACTATATAATAATAGTTAAAAACTAGATAATGTAAAGAAATATGTTGAAAATTTCAGTCAGATTGATCCATTCTGAACCGAGAATTTAACGATGGAATTTTGGGCCTAGCCCAAGTCGGTACAATAAAAAACATAGTCTTGATTATCCAATTTTTGATTTAATCATGAATGAGCGTTGAGCAGCAGATCTCAGGTTAGCAATTACATCGAGAGTTAATTAATGTCTAATTAATAATTTAGATAACATTTCAGGCCTAAATAAAGACCTGGAATGGGCAGATTGAGCTCTTGCATAATGTATGTTTAAATCTTCTTCTGTGGAGTTTGTCACAATGATTTTAGATTTAACATGGACAACTTTCGACGTATAAGGATCTGACATGCCCCCGTCTATATTTTTTTAATATATACATATGAAACTAAATCTTTGTAATTTCAGATAATATGAACGATTTTACAGACTTTTTGATCAATGCCAAGAAACAAGCTATCCTGGAAGATCCTACCTTAGAATCGGTTATCACTAACCGTCATATCACCCAAACCGTTAAAGATATATTCCTTGGTAAAATATAAATTAAATCATGCATTTTTTCTCTTTAATATATCTTATTGTTCCAAAATGTACATTGTACAGTTTTAATTTAATAAAACTACAACCAAGTCACAATGTAAAATTTACGTTAACTACTAATTATATATTACATCTGATTCTACAAGGATTACATATGAATCTAAATGTATATATTACAGCTGATTCTACATGTATATATTACAGCTGGTGTTGATACAACAAGGCAAACTATGACCTGGACTATTCTATTATTAGTAACACATCCAGAAATACAGAAGAAAGTTCAAGCTGAATTAGATCAAGTATTAGGTATGTTAACCAAGACAATCATGATTTGTATGATAGTATAATTAAAGAATGTGAGACCGATATATTTGAAAACATTGAATAAATCTTGAAGGAACCACGACATCCATTAACATGAAAACAATGAAAACTTATAGCTGCATTATCTGATGCAATGTTACAGCGTTGGGGTGGCTGGATTGACGTGAGGAATTAAAAAGAAATAAAGTAAGTATTAATACGGAACTACTGTAAAATGGTAGTCCGTAAGCTACATAGCTCACCTATAGTAAGTCAGATAAACCACTCAATGTTATTTTTATCACCGACGAATTAAATCAACGGAGGAATAGCAACATGACATTATCAATATATAAAAATATTTGGTAGTCGGGATGTCAATATAATAAAAAAAATAATAGTTATCTTTCTTTACCGTGTTAAATTTTATTTGCTAGATGCTGGACAAGCCCCCACTTTACGTGACAGGGACAGACTGCCTTACACCGAGGCTGTTTTACACGAGAGTATGCGACTGTGTCCAGTCGTACCAGTGGGAATACCACATACAACTCGATGTGATACAACTATTGGTAATTTTATATAGACCATTTTTCCTTTTTGTTTTCTTTTTAAATTTATATGTGGTCTTGGAATATGTTTTTAATATGTTCTTGATTATATGTTACTTTTCATTTCCATTCTATGCCGCTCAAAGAAGATAATGTTGCCTATTATTGTCAACAATGCAAAACAGCCTCTCTTAGACTAAAGTGTTGATTTAGCTTGTTGGATTATCCCCTGTTTTCGTTAACAATATAAAACGTCTATAATTAACTCAAACTGAAATGTTTTCCGCTGTCGACATAGTAAGCCAGAAATGAAACTAAACTAGTAAACAATCTTCGAAACAAATTTAAGCTTTTCAGATTACTAATCTTGTCAACCATATTTTTGACCAAAATCATTGAGGGTTAGTTCATTTAAGATAGCCGAGGGAACAGCCACTGTCCTGAATCTAAATTCTGGGTCTACAACTTTCGTTTTTCATTGAGTAAATAACGATAATTTAACTTAATCTTTAACAGGTGAATATGAGATACCTAAAGGTACTATGGTGATGATCAACCACTGGGCGCTTCACAATGATCCATAGGTTTGGAAAAATCCTGATGTCTTCAGACCTGAAAGATTTATGGATGAAGATGGAAATCTGGCACCTAAAACTATGTCATGGCTGCCATTTTCTGCTGGACGTAGAAATTGTTTGGGTGAAACTATTGCTAGACCCGAGATGCATCTCATGCTGGCTCTACTTCTGAGGAATATGAAATTTAGATGCCGAGACGGCCAAACAATGGACATGAATCCAGAGGGATCTAACAGTATCATTACCTTAGCTCCCCCTAAAAACTATGTGATCGCAGAGATGAGAAAATAAATTAGGCGGGTGAGCCGTCTATGAAATTTCAATTTCAAACTCTCACAATCTCGAGCCCCGATGTTGATCGTATGTATGTATGTATTATATTTGTGATATTATAAATCCATAAATTCTGACCACAGTATTCTGATTATGATTCTTATTCAGTGACCAATACTTCCTTTTTTTCTTTCACCTATACAGAGGGAACAACGGATAGGTAACCTTACAGCTTACAGTTACAAGAAGTTAGACTCTTATATTAATACTCTCTTTGATATGTGCCAGAGAAGGAAACAGGGGCTGAATCACAAACCATATCAGAAAAAAATAGAACGGCTTTGTAGAACAATAAACAAACAAACTGAAACACGATAAAGTAAATGTATGCATTGCCGAATATTCAGTAAACGACATAGACAGCTTTTTGTCGAGTAAAATACTATGATCTTTCAGACATCACTTTGTGAAAGGTGGCAAGGCCGTCGGTACGTCCTAATTAAAGTCAAAAGAGATTTGTCCTCCGTATACGTTTTGACTTTATGTCTAGTCAACGCCATCTAGTAGGGAAATCTTAGAAATGTTTATCATAGTAACATTTAACTGTGGGAGAGAGAGAGATAGAGAGAGTAAGAGAGAGCGAGAGAGAGAGAGAGAGAGAGAGAGAGATGTTTAACGTCCACTCGACACAAACTAGGTTATTTCGGGACTAACATTTAACTGTGGGAATCTCAGTCATGATTGTACGACAAATTACAAAACTGTTGAATTGATCCCCTTGACGCATTATAAAATCATTCAACCTATAAGGCCATGAAACTCGATTTACACACCCGATTAGATTTTATTACATACTTCGAGAAGGTATTTGTTGAGTAATAAAACCTCTGGGGCTGGCGGGGGGTTGGATGGTTAGCAGGCGCGCGCTGTATCATACGGTCTGTCATTGAGTCAGCTGGCGGGGTTTCGAATTCCCGGTTGTACGTGACAAGGAGTAGGGTCGCCTGTCTAACCTCGTGGGTTTTCTCCGGGTCCTCCGGTTTCCTGCCACTGATAAAGACCCCTACGCGCAAGCGAAATATTAAAATAGAATTGAACCATGTGTTAGTCGCGAAATGACCTAGTTTTGTCGAGTGGACGTTAAACCCCATTTCTCTCTCTCTCTCTCTCTAGAGTTTTCTAGGGGCCATGTGCAGTAGCGGGTTTAGAAGCTGGGAATAGGGGGTGGGGCGGTTCCAAATCTAGGGCGCCATCCACAATCCCACCCCACAATGAATGTCAACAAAATAATGGCTATAACATCAAGCGTCCCAGTAGAACATAGGTAGTGTTGTATAATTATATAGTTGTTCGCCGATCGTTGTCTGGCCGGAAAGCAGTTTTATTTAAGTTGACATAAATTTTATGTCATATATGATGATTCTGCCTATAACACTGAGCAACCTGAGAAAATTTTGAAAAATTGAGTCAATATCCTAGCAGTTGAGGTCATTGCTGGGAGAAAGTCTTGTGGACGAGACGACCAGAAATGTGAGTCAATGGGACAGAATCTCGAGATCTGCCCCTGTCAATTCCGCCTGTTTTGCAAGAGTTGACATAACATTTGTTTTGTTTGATGCCCCACGACCCACACACCAGAATAACTGGGCAGTTCACTATAACCGTGAATATGATAGTACTGAGACAGTATAAGACAACAGAGGAATAGAAGAATGATGTTATAACGGAATCGAGCGCCGCAGGCGCGAACAAATTTAAGATATGTAACCGAGCTTTTAATTTTTCTGGACTGGGCTTGAAAATTTTAGTCAATGTCATGGCAAATGGAACCAAATTCTCATTAACGAGAGGATAAGAAATGGGACAGAATCTTGTGGCCTATCTGTCAATTTCGCCTGTTTTGTGATTGTTTGTTTACCTCATTAATTCATTTAGTCTGAGATCTACTGCGGTGAGTACTTTTTTTTGAGACCGACTATTTTTTTGTCATTGGGGAAAAACATTTCATAGAACAAAACACTCACAACAGAATAAGAGTGACAAACATTTTTTCAAACATGACAAGCAGACATGGTTATTTTATACTATAGTTTTGTGTGACGTATGCAATTTAGGCTCAAGGATTCACACAAATACATAGTATTTAGGATCTATTCTGGCATTGTTTGTTTACCTCATTAATTCATTAAGTCGCCGATGCATAATTTTGAGACCGACTGCAGTGACTGCACTTATTTTGAGACCGACTATTTTTCTCCCTGGGGGAAATTTTGTTCTTAGACCAACATACTCCTAACAGAATAAGAGTGAAACACAACATTTTTTCAAACATGATAAGTTGACTAGGTTATTTTATACTAAAGTAACGTGACGTATGCAGTGGGCACTTATTTTGCACTGATTTTGCGACCGACTATTTTTCTTCCGGGGGGGGGGGGCGGGGTGTACCCCCCCCCCACACACACACACCCACATTTACGCCCCTGATCGTGTGTTCGTCTTGTGTCAAGTTCGGGACAGTTTAACGAAGTGTGACATTCAATCGGTCAACAGTGGAAACACCGACATTCATGTGTCTAGAACCGTAAGGGTATTTCTAATATAATAAAGGGTATTTCTAATATAATAAAGGGTATTTCTAATATAATATTTCTAATATAATAAAGGGTATTTCTAATATAATAAAGGGTATTTCTAATAATAAAACAAATTGCAATTTTTATATAAGAAACGGTAATTTTAATATAATAAAAGGTGAAAATATGATAATGGGTAATTGTAATATAATAAAATAAACCGTGAAAGTTGAAAAAGAAGAGTAAGCAAACGACGCGGCCGTCTGTATTAGCCCAGTTGGTGCGGAATAGTAAGACACAGCCCCCCCCCCCCTTCGCCCCATTGCCTTTCATCATATTATATTTTAGTCTCAGATGTAGACACAATTTATGATAATTTCATACAGTTTAATTAGCACGCCATTCTATAAGTAGAACACTGCTTTCATTTTTGAGGATTAAGCCGGTCTATGATTGGCATGAATATGCTCTTATCCAAAGTTGATGACATTTATTGTCTTGCTGGAAGTGACTGTCTTTATCATAGTATTTACGTCGATGAATGTATGAAATTGCACATAATTTTAAACACGACCGAACAGTTATCGTTAACGTACTGTTTCTATATTAACAGCCATTGAATGTTCTGGACGAGACTAGCAATGATTTTGGAAACGGCTTCTTTGAAGATGTTTTCCCACCTCTTCGGAAATATCCAACAGCAAAATTTAGAAAGATTACGGCAATGTTTAATGATTTCAAGGATTTTATAGAAGATGAATGCATTAAACATCGTGCGAAATTCTCGGAAGGTTGGTAATTTTTTCAAATTGTTCTGAAGGGTTATTAGCCATGTGCGAACCGAGGGTGTTTTTATTCTTGCAAACACTCTATCGGGAAGACTCCCCCATTGATTGTTCGCAGAGGTACTGTGCTTATCGCCAGAACCATGTTGAAATTTTAAACGCGTCTCTCCGATTACTTTTACTTTTCGTATGTTACTTCGAGAGTTTAGTATAGCGATTAAGTCTTCCTCTGTGGAGTTTTTCCACAATGATTATAGATTCAGCATGGACGACTTTGAGCGTATAAGGGTCTGACATGCCCTCATCTATAATTCTTTAATATATTTTTGAAACTAAATCTTTTGTAATTTCAGATAATATGAACGATTTTACAGACTTTTTGATCAATGCCAAAAAACAAGCTGTCCTGGAAGATCCTACCTTAGAGTCGGTTATCACTAACAGTCATCTCGTCCAAACCGTTAAAGATATATTCCTTGGTAAAATATAAATTAATTTATGTCATTTTCTCTTTAATATATCTCATTGGTCATATATGAACATTATACAGTTTTAATTTAATAAAACTGCAACCAAGTCACAATGTAAACTTTACGTTAACTAATGATTAAATTGATTGTCCAATGGATTATCTTAGCAAGTTTGTTTATATTAATTAATTCAAAGCAGTATTGCTTCTACCATTCAATATAAGGGTCGTTATAGTTTCATGGTCTGTTCTGCTGCTTTGAGTCGAATAACAGCACGTATATATTACATCTAATTCTACATGTATATATCTGATTCTACAAGTATTACATCTGATTCTACCAGTATTACATCTTATTCTACATGTATATATTACATCTGATTCTACATGTATATATATTACATCTGATTCTACATGTATATACAAGTATTACATCTGTTTCTACATGTATATACATGTATTTCATCTGATTCTACATGTATATATTACATCTGATTCTACATGTATATATTACATCTGATTCTACATGTATATATACGTGTATTACATTTGATTCTACATGTATATATTGCATCTGATTCTGCATGTATATATTACATCTGATTCTTCTTCTACATGTCTATATTACATCTGATTCTACATGTATATATTAGATCTGAATCTACATGTATATATTACAGCTGATTCTATGTATATATTACAGCTGGTGTTGATACAACCAGGCAAACTATCACCTGGACTATTCTATTATTAGCAACACGTCCAGAAATACAGAAAAAAGTTCAAACCGAATTAGATCAAGTATTATGTATGTTAGTTACGACTACCATGATTTGAATGATAGACTATTGTTACAGAATGTGGGACAGATATTTTTGAAAACATTGACGAGATCTTGAGGGGATTGCGGCAGCCAAAGTTCAAATCAGCACACAATATTCGGTTTCAGAGACTGACCAAAGGCGAGTGTAGGGGCGGTGTGGATCCAACCTGGACTACATAGTTATAGTCGCAGGGAATTATGAGATCAGTTTCACATCCAATAACTTGAAAAAATATAACCGCATTATCGTATGCAATGTTACAGAGTTGGGGTGGCTGGGTTGAAGTAGGAAATTAAAAAAGAAATAAAGTATTAATACAGAAATACTGTGGAATGTTAGTCCGTCAGCTATATAAATCACCCAAGCTGTAGTACCTACTTTGATCGAAAGTCAAATAAATCACTCACTTTTTTTGTATCACGGACGACGAATTAAACAAACCGAGGGATAGCAACCTGACAATATATGAAAATATTTTGATGTCGATATGATTAAAAAAGAATAGTGATCTATCTGTATTTTTTAAAATTCATTTGCTAGATGCTGGACAAGCCCCCATTTTACGTGACAGAGAAAGGTTGCCTTACATAGAGGCTGTTTTACATGAGAGTATGCGACTGTGTCCAGTCGTACCAATGGGAGTACCACATACAACCCGCTGTGACACAACTATTGGTAATTTACTAGCCATTCTTTGATTTTCTCTTTTTTTTCCTTTTTAATTTATATGTTGTCTTGGAATATATTTCTAATATGGTTTTAATTATATGTTGATTTTCTAGAATGCACAGCAGAATTTTTTAGACTAATATGTTAATTTAGCTTGATGAATTTGATTTCATTAACAATTTAACGCCTATAGTAACTTGAAAACGAGACCTGCATGTGTTACGAAACTTCGTTTTTAAAAAACTGGGAAGTAGTTATATCCAGATACACCCTGTGGTATCTTTGATATGAATATTTAACCGTATTTCTAGATGTCATTTAGATAATTGTCTTTAAATAAGTCAAACCAAATTGTTTTCCACTATCTACATAGTAAGACGGAAACGAAATAAAATTAGTAAACAAGACGATGTCCGCTTAATCTTCGAAACAAATTTAAACACACCGAGCTTTTCCCATTACTAATCAGATCAGCTATATTCAATGAGATTTAGTTAATCTAAGATAGCTGAGTAAACAGCTTGTCCTGAATCTAAATTTTTGGTGTGCAACTTTCTTTTTTTTTTATTTAGTAAATAAAAGATAATATAACTTTATTTTTAACAGGTGAATATGAGATACCTAAAGGTACTATGGTGATGATCAACCACTGGGCGCTTCACAATGATCCCGAGGTTTGGAAAGATCCTGATGTTTTCAGACCAGAAAGATTTATGGATGAAGATGGAAATCTGGCGCCTAAAACTATGTCATGGCTGCCATTTTCTGCTGGACGTAGAAATTGTTTGGGTGAAACTATTGCCAGACCCGAGATGCATCTCATACTGGCTTTACTTCTGCGGAATATGGAATTTAGTTGCCCAGACGGGCAAACAATGGATATGAATCCAGTGGCTGCTAACAGTTCTTTCTCCTTTACTCCTCCTTTAAACTATGTGATCGCAGAAATGAGAAAATAGATTATTTTAATTTTAACCCGTCGCAATCTTGATCAAAAATGTGGATCGTATGTATAAATATAATGGAGTTTAATGTCATGCTTTATATTTGTGATATTATAAATCCATAAATTCTCACCACAGTATTTTGATTATGATTCTTATACAGTGCCCTATACCTAGACCCCCCTCCCCAGCTTTAATTCTTTGTAAGTAAGAGAGAAAAATTATTCTAGACAAGTCGTAATTTCGATCACACATAGTACATGCATATGCTTTTCTTCAAAATAAAGGTACAGCTTTTAAAGCGAAACGGGTGAATATGAGATACCTAAAGGTACTATGGTGATGATCAACCACTGGGCGCTTCACAATGATCCCGAGGTTTGGAAAGATCCTGATGTCTTCAGACCAGAAAGATTTATGTATGAAGATGGAAATCTGGCGCCTAAAACTATGTCATGGCTGCCATTTTCTGCTGGACGTAGAAATTGTTTGGGTGAAACTATTGCCAGACCCGAGATGCACCTCATGCTGGCTTTACTTCTGCGGAATATGGAATTTAGTTGCCCAGACGGGCAAACAATGGATATGAATCCAGTGGCTGCTAACAGTTCTTTCTCCTTTACTCCTCCTTTAAACTATGTGATCGCAGAAATGAGAAAATAGATTATTTTAATTTTAACCCGTCGCAATCTTGATCAAAAATGTGGATCGTATGTATAAATATAATGGAGTTTAATGTCATGCTTTATATTTGTGATATTATAAATCCATAAATTCTCACCACAGTATTTTGATTATGATTCTTATACAGTGCCCTATACCTAGACCCCCCTCCCCAGCTTTAATTCTTTGTAAGTAAGAGAGAAAAATTATTCTAGACAAGTCGTAATTTCGATCACACATAGTACATGCATATGCTTTTCTTCAAAATAAAGGTACAGCTTTTAAACCGAAACGGGGCTTGTGGAGCGGTGTGAATGCCATCATGTTACACGATGAACCACAACGCGAACTCCTAATATCATCACTTATAAAAGTTATGAAGCAGGAATTGAATTTTCATTCTTTCACCTTTATAGGTTAAACAACGGGCATGTAACTTTAACTTTCCGGGCAGTCTATTTTTAACTTCTGGCTTGCGAGTTAGGCTTCGTTATAAACGGGTATTTTTGGTCAACTCCACCCAAACTACCGTCCATTGCCATGAAAATTTACATTGGTAACAGCAAATTACCGTCGCGTTGTATTTATAATTACATTGCCTGCAAATATAAAATATGGCTTTAAACACACTCTAATACTTGTTTCTAAGCTGTAACTTCTATCCGTAACCTGTTTTGTATACCAGTTTCAAATTTCTATTTTTCTGTGGCCTGCTTGTCTTATAGCAAATTGGTTTTCAATACAAACAACTATCCGATAATCGATACAGGGCTTAACAATTTGCCCATACTCTAACATCAGCCCATCGATTACATATCTACGAAATATCATCGACGAAGATGCCTCATTGATCCTGGTCGCCTACCAAAATTTCAGTCACTAATTCGGGTATTCCGGACAGTCTATTTTGGACTTCTGGCGTTTCGGGGCTAATAAAGATGAACACACGCCATGTAGAAACCAGCATGGGAAATCTCGACGATAATAATGTACCAATATAAAAAGCACCTAAAAATAAACCCTAAATATTGCATTTGTTTAAACAAAAAAGAAAAAAAATAGCGTACACTAGACAGGACGTTTGTTTCTAAAATTTTGTAAGTTCGAGATTGTATGCAATTTATTTAACAGCCATGTTGTAACAGATTTAAAAGATGTGCTATAATTCAATTAAAATCTAAAGTTGGCCGGCTAGGCCATATTCTCGCGCCGAAGAACTGTAACATTGTGAGTTCAATGTTGAATTTGTTTTAGATCAAGAAATTGTATAACAATTGATACGCGATATTCAAAGATCACTTTAAGTATGATTGAAATTTGACCCTTGTCTTGATTAGATATCAGATAAGCTTTCTTATAAATACACAACAGAAATCCTTCGACTTTAGGTTCGGATTTGGACAGACGTAGAAAACGTGAAAAGGGTGAAGGGTTTCTTGGTCATATCTAAATATTATTCTCGAGTGCTGATCTGGAATCGACAGTTATGCAGACTCTATTATATTACTAACTTTACTGAATCTTAGATGATTGTGTATTTGTGAATAAACATTGATTTAATATCTTTAACACGTGCTGTAGACGATAATATTGGCTGCAGCAGTGTTACAAGATATTTATGCGGACTTATTCCGGAACTTGTTGCTTTTTTCGAATAGAAACTACATGCATTTCGTATATTGACGAAGAAACCCCTTAGTGCGAAATGGACTTTATATATTAAAAGTTCTCACTAATCAAGAAAAAATTGAAGTTAAAATTGTTCCTGCGTTCCTGTTTTCCATTAAAATATTCCAGTTTATAATGTTCCAGTGAAAATTTTTTGAGTGAAATCGTTCCAGTAAAATCATTCCAGTTAATTGTTACAGCGTTCTGACTGATTATATCCTTGAAGTAACTTTTATAATTTTGTGTTTTTCGTAATTTGAGCCGGAAACCATCGAGTGCGAAATTGACTTTTATATATATATATATATATATATATATATATATATATATATATATATATATATATATATATATATTAAAAGTTCCCACGTATCGAAAATAATTTAATGATATGTAAGTTGAAAATGTTACTGCGTTCCTGCATTCCATTGAAATATTCCGGTCAATATTGCTCCAGTGAAATCGTTTCAGTTAAAATTATTCAAGTGTTCCCGTGTTCCAGCGTTCCCATTTTCCAGTGAAAATTGTTCCAGTGAAAATTGTTCCAGTAAAATCGTTCTAGTGAAATTGTTCTAGTGAAATTGTTCTAGTGAAAATTATTTCAATACTATCGTTCCATTTAAAATTGTTCCAGCGTTCCCGTTTTCCAGTAACATCGTTCCAGTTAAAATTGTTCCAGCGTTCCCGTTTTCCAGTAACATCGTTCCAGTTAAAATTGGTCCAGCATTCCCGTTTTCCGGTAACATCGTTCCAGCTAAGAGTGTTCCAGCGTTCCCATTTTCCAGTAACATCGTTCCAGTTAAAATTGTTGGAGCTTCGCGTGTTCCAGTAAAACTGTTCAAGTTAAAATTGTTCCACCCCAATGAATAAAGCATTGAAGTAACTTTTATAATTATTTCTGTGCGGTGATTGTTCTGTGCTTTCAACTTATTTCTAAACCAACCAGAGGAGACCGGAACAGAAGAAGACGACAAGAACTCCTAATCTATGAATGAAATTCATGTATATCTTGAGATACTTCGTTCAAAGTAAAGGTAAAAACATGAAATATTCCATTAAAATTTTTTTTACAAGTTCTAAATAACTAATTTCAGGTTTTAATTTCTGATTAATTTTGGTCATGATATAAGATATCTTTTAAACCCAATGTTTCAGTTAAATTAATTAACTTATTTTAATAACCAAAATTGCTTTATGATATATTTGTATATTTCTAATCATGATGTTAAGCAACGATAAACCCGCTTGCAAAACTGTCGCTTGATGTTTTACCTTATTTACTACTTCGGTATCTGTAGTACCAAAAAGTGAAGACAATATACCACCCAAAGGCAATAAATTTCGCCTGTTGCGATTTTTTCTAACATCAAGGGACACTAAACTTTTCAAATCCCCAAATGAATGATCCAATGAATCCAACAGAGTTTCACATAGTGAGGGGATCACGTGGCTAAGTGGGTAAGATGCTGGCTCGCTAGCCTGGAGGTTGGGTGTTCGATCCCTGCATTGGCCGAGAAAGTTCATCCAGATTTTCCGACGTGGTTTCCCCTTGTCAGCGATGCAGGGAGGAGTGCCTGAAAAGGACAGCTGTCTCGCTAGCCTGGAGGTTGGGTGTTCGATCCCTGCATTGGCCGAGAAAGTTCATCCAGATTTTCCGACGTGGTTTCCCCTTGTCAGTGATGCAGGGAGGAGTGCCTGAAAAGGACAGCTGTCTAGTCGTTGGGATGGGACGAAAAACCGAGGTCCCGTGTACATATTGGCGTGCACGTAAAAGATCCCTTGGCAGTTGGAATTCCCTCATAGCAAACTGTTATGGCGTATGCCCGTCTTCTTTCGCCCAGTTTAGGAGCAGAACAGTAGGACGTTAAACCCCATTTAATTTTTATTTCATTTCACATAGTGAAATCTGTTTTCTAAATGAATAATATAAAGGCTCGTGAAATTTTTCCAATTGCTTTTGAAAATATATTCCAGGAATAATATATTCCTTGTTAAATAAATTAGATATAGTAACTGGAAGTCTATCCATTTTGATTTTGTTCTATATATCAAAAAACGACTGGAATGAATTTTTAAGAGCATTTCCAATATTTTTACATTATAATGATTAATATCAAAATGGAAATAAAGTATCTAATTACTGTAAGAAATATGATTTCCGTGTCAGTAAAAATATTATAAACCCCGGTTAGATTTATTATGAACTGTTGGCATTGGTATTCGCGCCATACGTATACTCCGAACATCTCTTAAAAATAAAGCAGAAATACAAGATGGAGCAGAATTAGTAGACATTGCAGATTTATGAAACGTGCAAAAAACTGTATTATTATTATGACATAAATTAACTTCCATTTCAGATGAATGAATATAAGAATTTCTATTTCGTAAAATAGTAAAATAAGAGTGATCAAATTCATAATTAATAATATTAGTACCATCAGAATTTAACATTGTTATATGAACAAGTTTGTAAATATCGTATAAATTATTCTTTTGAATAAGTGACATAGGAACAATTAAGTTAAATGAACTAACATCTGGAACTAAAGTAGTCTGTAATGTTTTATAATAAACGGCTAATTTAGACTTGATTAGAGGATAAGGTAACTCAAGATCAGCTGGTAATTTACTTTGTAAATCAAGTAATGTTTGATACAAGATATCAAGAGGAAACTGATAATTCACCCTCTAAAAATTCATAATATGTGAATTAAATTGATATAATTTATCCAAAGGTAAAAACATCAAATATTCCATTAATCAAATTATTTTTACATGTCTATTTCTAGTATTAAGTAGTGATAAACTTTCC